ACTATTTTTGTTGACCTTTGTCCATGGAAGGTCCCTGCAAAATTTCATTGAAATTGGTTCAGGGGTTTTGGAGAAGAAGTCGAAAATGTAAATTGTTTACGGACGCACGACGGACGACGACGGACAAAAGGCGATCACAATAGGTCACTTGAGACTTTTTCTCAGGTGACCTAAAAAGCATATGGCTTAATTTGTTTTTGTTAAAAGTAGTGATTGGCAATCTGAATCAGTTTAAAATCATAATCGATGATGTTTGAATTGGCAGTAGTAAACAGATTGATGACTAATTGCATAATCGGTTTATAATTTTATGGGACTGAATAGTACCCAAATACAAAGATGCTCCAGGCCCAATTTAGTCAAAGTCCATAAAGCTGTTCAGGACTAATACAGTTTTAAAGGAAAAGTTGACTGACAGACGAAGGACGCTGCAGTACAGCATAAGCTCACCTTGGTCCTTCGAACCAGATGAGCTAAAAATGACAACATTATTTTTACAATAATAAACACAGAGCTCTTGACTATACATTAGGTTTCGCTCTTAAATATTGAATGGATTCCAAGCAAGTTTTATGCAGTTTTGATTTTGAACATAATCGATCATCAGTCTGTAATTAAAAACCTATTATTGTGGCAGGTTTTAGTGTGTATCATGGTCATCTTCTAGCTCCTTACTAATGAGAATTTCCCTAAAAGCTCCATTGGGAGAGCACACATTCATGTCCATCCTCATTCCTGTGTCTTTAACCACTCATTTGCTCCTGTAGATCATTCCTCGAATCACGATGTACTTTCAGTCAAGCTAGAGTTACTTTTGATAATAGTGTTTCCTATAATCTCAAAATTTAAATTGCCTTGGGTAATATTTTACTGGTTTACATAAAATCAGACACAGCAAGAGAGACGGAAAGACACACATACACACACACAGACAGTCAAGATGACAGACAGACAGATAACTATAAGTAGAAAAAAAGGCATTTGGTCCTATTGTTTCTTAAGATAGTGATGAGTTCTAATCATTAAATGAAAGCATTTACTTTCTGGAATAAACAATTGCACTGCTTGACATAGTAGTGTTTCTGAGTGTAAGTTCACAGATAGTGGTCAGTAGATAAATATATCTGGATACCAGTTCAGTTTGTTTATCATCCACAGTAGAAGCACACCAATCTTTTTCATTTTACAAATTGTGTCTATTGCACTTTCTGTAGTGAGACGGAGATAGAAACTGGGTTCTAGAGGTGTTCGAGGGCATATTTAAAAGAGAGGCCCAATGGGCCTGCATTGCTCACCTGGTATTAATCTCACACTTGTAATCTTAAAAATGGACTAATTTTCAGCTACAAGCAGAATATCAGTGATTGATTCATAAGAACCTATTAAAAAATTTAAACATATGACATTAGGTTGAAAGTGGGTCAATATCATTCATTTGAACAAACTTGGTAGCCCTTCATCCCAGCATGCTACAGGCCCAATATAATAAGTACCCTGGGCCTTTTTGGTTATTGAGAAGTGGTTTAAAAATTTTTAAGACATTTGACCCCTGTGACCTTGAAAGTGGGTCAAGGTCATTCATTTGAACAAACTTGGTAGTCCTTCATCCCAGCAGGCTACAGGCCTAATTTAATTACCCTGGGCCTTTTGGTTATTAAGAAGAAGTTTTTTGAAGATTTTAAGACATTTGACCCTTTTGACCTTGTTAGTGGGCCAAGGTCATTCAATTAGACAAACTTGGCAGTCCTTCATCCCAGCATGTTACAGGCCCAATATCATAACCCTATACCTTTTGGTTCTTGAGAAGAATTTGTTTGAAGATTTTAAGACACTTGACCCATGTGACCTTGAAAGTGGGTCAAGGTCATTCATTTGGACAAACTTGGCAGTCCTTCATCCCAGCATGCTACAGGCGCAATACCAGTACCCTGGGCCTTTTGGTTATTGAGAAGAAGTTGTTTGAAGATTTAAAGACATTTGACACCTGTGACCTTGAAAGTGGGTCAAGGTCATTCATTTTAACAAACTTGGTAGCCATTCATCCCAGCATGCTACAGGCCCACTATCAGTACCCTATATCTTTTGGTTATTGAGAAGTCGTTTGAAGATTTTAACATATTTGACCCATGTGACCTTGAAAGTGGGTCAAGGTCATTCATTTGAACAAACTTAGTAGCCCTTCATCCCAACATGCTACTGGCCAAATATCATCGGCTTAGGCCTCTTGGTTATTCATAAGAAGTTGTTTCAAGTAAAATATTGATGATGGACGGACGCCACACCACGGCGAAAAAACACTTCAAAGAGGCATGGTCTGGGAGGGGAGGGGGTTACTAGTGTGGAAGGTTTAATTGTACATAAATGATCGTGATAACCTATAATGCTAGTTTCAAGCCGAAGCAGAGGGTATACTCCCATTAGCTTGTCAATTAAAGAGTGCATGTGGCAGACTGGAAATCTATAGGTTGTTGGCTCAATACCAGGTGTTAGCTATATATTTGCAGTACAGTATTAAAAATGGCTAATTCATTATATAGAAATTAAATGACAACAGGAAAATATGACAAAACAAACATGTTCATTAAGTAGGGTCGATGCTCCTTAACTTTTAAAATACATTGGTCAAAAAAACAAACTTATAAACTTTTAAAACTTTAGTGCCAACAAATTAAATCCAAAGAGTACTCCTCCAACCCTGGAAATGTACTTGATATTGAGGTTCTTCCAGTACCATACAGCTACGTACATGTACAAGATGGCTGGTGGCGACCATATTGCTGTTCCAATTAGTCTTAATTATATAATATGACTGATATTCAAATATATATTTATGAACCAATATATTTACTGGGAACCTAAATGTCAAAGACTTCTTCAGATAATAACAAACTTAAGCTATCAAAATCCAATATACAATGTAACTTCCAGGGGGCCAAACCTTTTGTAACAGGAAAGATAATAGTGTGCTTCCACCGGGGATCGGTTACCCTTGAATCCTAGTCGGATGCTCTACCACTGAGCCAAAGGGAAATTCCCTCTAGCTCGAAGCCGACCTTAATCCTATGTACAATTGAACCCTGCCACACTACTCCCCCCTTTTTAAATGTGTTCGCCCTCGCACACCACAACCTATGTTCTAACTCCCTGTCACCACAGAGAAGGCAACGGACAACATTTGTAACAGGAAAGAGAATAGTGTGCTTCCACCGGGGATCGAACCCCCGATCTTCAGGTTCCTAGTCGGACGCTCTACCACTGAGCTAAAGGGAAATTCCCTCTAGCTTGAAGCTAGAATGCGACCTTAAACCTATGTACAATTGAACCCTGCCACACTTTTATTCGAATTTCAACCATTCTGAAAATGAAATATGCATATATATATAACATATGGTCATTATAAGTACCAAGCTAAACTTTCACATGAAATATGATAAAAAAAAATCAGCCGCAATATATGATCATGCAATAACAACGTCATTTGTAACAGTAATCAAATGTGTGCTGCAATGGGAAGAAAAAATGCAGCATTCAGACAGGGATTCGAACCCAGGACCTTGAAACGTCAGTCAAATAACTTAATACTTTTCAGTGTTACTGTTCGCACTGTTCATCAATATTATTTTTCTTATAAAAAAGATATAAAATTCTCCATTTTGCATTCATTCTATTTGGAACTCAACACACCCTTATTCTCCCTAGGCCTGGATAGGACTTGAATGCTAGTCGTTTCAGTAACAGGTAGTTTCGGTAACAAGTCGTTTCGGGAGTCCCAAAGTCGTTTTGGGACATGACACAAGATGTTTTGAGACTTAATCAAGTCGTTTCGGGACATATACAATTTTCACTTATAAATTTCATTTCGCTCCCGTTTCATATCAAGTCCTTTAAATACACAAGTATGGTTTTAGTCTATGACCTGCGTAACGACTTACCCGTGCTTTGGATCATTAGAGTTACCAGATTGCTAGTGCTTGAGGGGATACCTACCAACATTTACCCGATTGACAGTGTGTTGATACCTGGTGAAACTAATCTTATTATCACATACAGATCTAGAGGAACTTATGAAATTCAACATTCAATTTCTTTCGTTATTGATAGGTTGATTGCTTGTTTGATATTGTAATAATATGTTTTCAATTCACTATATTCTCCATTATCGACATAGAGAGACGAATGAGTTTCAATGATTTCAGCATTTTATTTTCCCTATATTGAAATTAAATTTCATGAAAGTAAAAGCGTGAAACACATAGAATATGTTTGAGACATGTATGAGAATCAATTCATCAAATCAAGCTAATATACTTTGAACGATGTTATTATGTTGTGTATTTCTATTCATGTTTGTATGACGGGAGAAGGCTATAATCAGGGGTCGACACTAACGGTAGACCGGAGGACCGGGTCCACCAAAATCTTGGACGGTCCACTTAATCTCCAAAGCTGGTAGACCGCCGGTCCACCACATATTACTTGATTAGTGTATATATATTTGAGAATATTGTTCAGAAATATAATAATAAAGACTTTATTTCCTTCGCCAGCGAGCCGTAAAATCCCATCTGGTTAAAAAATGTATCGTATTTTCGTGTTGTTAACCCGCTAAAAGTTGTCGTTATCATTCTTGGACGAGTGAAGTGCGTGAATCCGCTTGCGGTAAGTCGGAATCTTTTCAGCGTTTGAGTCGCTAGTGGTATATAGTTTGCCGCTATTATAAGCACTAAAATGACGATGACGTCACGATCACGGTGGTCAACCGATAAATGAAGGTAAACTTAGCCTCACAATTTCGTGTTACGTTTTGATTTCTATCGTATTCTATAGCGTATATCGTTTAGGTGATCGTGTCCGTCGATTAACTTAGTATCTGTACTAGACTAGTACCGTATCGCCTGTGTCGCGATTTTTAAATGGCTTGGTTTACAACCACTGGCAAAAAAAAAGTTAAAAACTTCACCAGAACAAAAACAACACGAAGTTTGTATGGGCAACAAAAAGGATGATATCCTTTCAGGAGTCATGGAAAAATCGTTTACATGGCTCAATAATGATACTGACACAAACTTAATGAAATGTAGGGTATGCTGCACTCAGAAGATGATTCCGAAATGTCCAGGAAGGATTGAATAGAGGTGCAACAAAATACGTAAAGACTACTGTTGGGGCAAATTTGTTTGACATTCTGACTGTATATTGAGATAAAGATCATATAAAAAAGGTATAATACTATAAAAAAGTATATTATTTTATCCTTATTTTTTCATATGATCTTTATCTCAATTTACAGTCAGAATTTCAAACACCTTTGGATGGGAGCTATGTAAAAAAAAATAAACAAGGAGAAAATTGTTTCATGTTTCTGTGTCATTTACTAAAACTTGGTCATAAATGGAAAAAATAAAAAAATAAGGATAAAAAACAAGTATTTTACAGAAAATTAAAAAACCTTCATTATTTGTTTAAAACCCTCAGATGCCAGGATTTTGCATCTAGCTTTTAAAAAAAATTGGGGGAGGACCCCCATACCCCCCTCTTATTCAGGAGGGGGGGTACCCCATCCCGAACCCACCCCCCACTCCTCGCTACGCTCGTCGACCGGGGCGCAAAGCGCCCCAGATCTGAGAATATTATTCAGGTCTACCAGAAATTAACCAGGTCCACCAGATCAAGAGAGCAAGTGGACCTGCGGTCCACCACCTATTAAAAGTTAGTGTCAACCCCTGATAATACTTAAATTTTATCCAATCGATTGTTTAAATTTATTTGACACTAAAATGTATTTAAAGAAAAAAGGCAATGGTATCTACAGAAGAAAAGTGAAAAAAGATAAATCTCGAAACGACTTTTGACATGTCCCGAAACAACCCGGAAAAATTCCCGAAACGACTTTAGTCTCGTTACCGAAGGACTAGACACCTTGGACTGGACATTAACCTTTTACATATTAGTGGGCTAAACAACTATGACAAAGGGCAAAATACATTTAACGTGTAAAACATGCCATGTCATTGAAAAGGATACATAATCCAATAACAGAGAAAAACAGGAACAGTCCGATGTATCCGCCTCGCTTCTTTGTTTTTTGAGACTGAGCATATCGCACTAAATTTGCTTTCTCTACTTTCTTCACAAAATACTTTTGGTTCTCGTCAAGATACTTCGCTCCATCCTTTGTTGAAAGATCTATTTTTTTCATGTATGTGTCGTCAACAGACTGTAATCCAAATTTTTGCCGAATCGTGTTCTGCAAGGACGACGCCATGATGCTTACGAAATGAAAAGTAGCTACATGTAGTCGATAGACTATAAAACCGCGAGAAAATGCTTCGAGTTATTCGATGATTACCCGGTTTAATTTGAAACAAAATGTAATAAAATCAAGTAAAAATAATCAACAATTTTCTAAACTAGATTTGGAAACTAAAATAATATTTCTATACGAGTTTTATCGGTTACTTCTATTTGAATGACGTTGTCAATGTCGACGAAAGGTTTGAAATGAAGGTGTTCATCATCGTGTCAAGCATTTTAGAGACGCAGTGTTTTGATTTTTGACATCGACATTCAGATTCACACATTCACAACAAGGTAGGATAGCTGTGTTTACATTTATTTCGGTCATTTTGTTGAACTGCATATTCAGGACAATACGTATATGCGCTATTGCACAGAGATATGTGACGTTTATTTCGATTTAGTCGCGTGTTTACAGAATAATATCAGTTCAGGTTGACCTGTTTTGTTTGGTACTGTAGCCTTACCAAGGATATCTAGTGCATTCACCCTTCTCCTATAATGTTACATTAATGTACATGTAAAGTTTGAGTCCAGCTCTTTTACGGTTCCATATCTAGTTCCATGTCAAATCATTCCATCATTCTGAGTCGTACGATGGCCGATATCAACACAACAAATCCCGAGTTTCCTTTGTCCCTGACACCAGACTTACTTGTAGATATTTGGACAGATACTGAGATAGATATTGATTTGACATCTATCTGATAAAATGTCTAAGTTTGGTTCCCGGACCAAAGGAAGCTACTAGGTACTAATATGTACAGTTAAGAAAGTGTCGCCAGCCAATATGGGCCTGTAGCATGCTGGGATGAAGGACTACCAAGTTTGTTAAAATGTATGACCTTGACCAACTTTCAATGTCACTGGGTTCAGATGTCTTTAAATCTTCAAACAACTTCTTCTCCATAACCAAAAGGCCCAGCAGGGTACTGATATTGGGCCTGTTGCATACTGTGATGAAGGGCTACCACGTTTGTTCAAATGAATGACCTTGACCAGTATCATGCTCAGATGAAGGGTTACCAAGTTTATTTTAACGAATGACCTTCACGACCCATTTTCAAGGTAACAGGGGTCAAACATATTAAAAACCTTTAAACAACTTCTTCTCAATAACCAAAAGGTATAGGGTTATGATATTTTGCCAGTTATATACTGGGATGAAGTGCTAACAAGTTTGTTCAAATAAATGACCTTCGCTCATATTCAAGGTCACAGGGATCAAATATGTTTAAATCTTTAAATGACTTGTTCTGAATATATTCAAAAGGTCCAGGGTAATGATATTTAGCCAGAAGCATGCTGGGACAGAAGACTATAAACTCTGTTAAACTTATATTAATAATGTCCTTGTTCGACTTTTAAAGTCAGAAGCGTCATATGTTTAAGTCATTTATTAGATTTAAATGAATGGAACAGATATTTTGCCTGTAGCTGTATATTAGTCCACTTTTAAGATTACAAGTGTGAGATTAATACCAGGTGAGTGATTCAGACCCATTGGGCGTCTTGTTTGGATTCGCGTTGTGCATGACAATTGACCACTTAAATTGACTTAAAATCTGACCAAAAAATCACTTAGTGAGTTATGAGAGAGGGGCTTGCAGACACCTGCCTTGCCTGCGACAGGCCTATTTTCTACTTGCATGGAAAAAGGGTACAGTAGTAAAAAACAATTCCTGGATAAAGCCATGCATTATATATTATGAAAAGTTCTTGTTACACAACCAATAAGTGTTTTTAATTGACGTTTTCATGACTATTTCGGTATACATACTCTGTCACCTTCAATTCATCAGACAAATGACTAGTGAAGTGTGTGCATACAAAGGTGTAATATGTGTACGAGTTGTCCACAAAATTGATGTTGATTCGGCTATGCTGTAAGCGTATGTACAATAATTAACAAATCAATTGTTTTTGTCAGATTGTAAACAATACAATTGTTATACACAAACCAAATACTGAAATTGAGTTTATGTTTTGTCATTAAGTAAAACGACAAAGCAGATGCTAAAACTGAGTATACGTACATGTACATGGTTTGCCATTTTGTAAAAATGTACAGATTTCATCAATCTGATTATAAAGGGCCATGGTTGCAGAGTAGTTTCAGCATCTGACCATCAATGGTCACTAGCCCTCCACTGCTGGGTCACAAGCTAGCATGGGGCAGTCTGCCAGTTGGTATTCTTTCTCCAGGTAATCCAGTTTTCTAATTTGGGCTATTGGGCATGGGGATTTCTGGTATACTGCAGTACTATACTAGGAAACTTTCGGCAAGTCAAATATGTTTTTGTCGATATAATATAGTTTTGCCTAGTTTTAATTTCGCCCTTCACATAAGATAACTATAATTATTATACCTCTACTGAGTTTTCCCGACATAAAATCAATACAATAAAATGTCCTATTTCCCTAAAATCACTTATATCTCTCCATCTGAGGGCTACTCCCTCCCCAAATTAGTACTACTCTGCAAGAAAGGACTACTCCCTCATGAATTTTTGTAGGCGGAACTTATAAAATTCCAACCATTGCATGCTTTGTACTAATATTCGCTGTCATGATAAATTAGCTATAAACTGCAGCGAACATTTCCTGGTATACAGTAGTCACCAGATCAGTGATTAATACTAATACTCCAAAATGAAAAAAAATATACATATAGAGCTTCGAAGTGGAACTCTTCTTTGTAATTATAAATGATACAGTGGAACCCTACACCTTAAGGCTAAATATATAACAATTACAAGAATTGTTTTATTCTTACAGTCTTCATCTATAACTATCTTTGGCAACACTTTATATATCTTGAAATGTATTCATTTTTGACAGGCAGTTGAGGTTTTAACCTTACACAAGAAAGTTGGAAAAATGTACATAATGTTTTTCAACATTTAGGATAATAATCAATTTATTTGTGATAATTCCATGAATGTTGTCAACTTCCAGTCTCTCTGAAACATGTACTTCCAATTGGTCTCCATAAGATTTCAGAATATATATAAAGGGTGGCTGGGTCATCAAAACATAAGCAGGGGAATAGTCAAGTTGATGACAGTTGACAAATTCATGTTTTTGCAGGTGGGTTTGATGGATCAGCATGGGGAACTCAAACAGCCACAAGCGGCCTGGATGTAGCAACAAAGTGGAGCACTGGTCACTGATTCAGGCTACACCAGTAACTGGAGTGCTGCAGTCTTGTTCCTATGGTCGCTGGATAAAGACGCAGCGCACTATCTGTGGCTACGCAGACTATGCTGATTTCACTACTTGTCGCGAGTCCAGGAGAAGGTGTGGAGTACTTGCAAAACCTGACACTACATGTGGGCGATACTTTGTTCCTAGTTTCAAGTCTAAGTCTGAATTACAGATAGTGGAAAAACAGAAATGGTATATTGGTAATTTCAAACTTCCTCGAGTCCCTGTTCCAGACCCTCAATGGGTTCGCCATTCTCAACATAATCGCAATCGCAGGGAATGCAGCGTTGTTGCATACAACAATGGACTTGTTGTTGTTCAAATAAACACCAATAGGTATTATTTGTCACCCAAGTTCTACATACTGGACATCGAGACAAGCCAGGTCATAGGTCATTTTCTGATGTTCTATCACTGTAGGAGATGGTATGAGTGCTATATTTCAACAAACAAGCATAGGATCCTGTTACGTCCTGACAGTCTGACAAGGGTGGTAGCTTTACCTGACAATTACCTGTTGGAAAACGTCTACATTAATCCTGACACCAACTACTCTAGTCTGTCTGTAGGAACCATCCCACCAATATTTCGTGCTCATGTCGTGACATTTAATGCCTTAGCTGGTGACAACAGAATTGTCATGGCATATCAAAAAGATCTGGAAATCCGTTCTGTAGAAACATGGGATATTCTTTATGGTGTTCAAAATCTGGAGCTCCCTACAAATATACAGCAGATGAAATCCAGTCCGCTTGGTGACTTCATAGCCTTGCGCTGCGTTCACCCTGTTCATTGTAAGGAGTACAGTGTCAATGTGATTGCTTTGCTGAACTTTCGGACGCTAGACATTTTGTTCAAAGTTGATGTGTGTGGATGTTATTGGCCAGTGTCAGAGGTTATCAATCTTCAAGTCTTCCCCTATTTTTCTCCTGGTGAGGCATCCATATCTCTGATGAAGAATTGTACCTATCACCGCAAAGTAGTCACATACAAGCTACCGATACCCCGATTGAACCTGCAGTACCTGTGTCGCAGAGCAATACTCCATCTGACAAATTATAGAGATCTGAGCAAACTGCCTCTGCCAAAGAAGATCATTGCCTTTCTCCAGGCTAAAGCAGTTATGAACAAGGACAAACCATTATAATTCAACCCATAGCAAATGTTCTGTCATCAAGGAGAAACCATTGTAATTCTTCAACTGAAGCTACCGGTACAATGTACATGTGGGAGCCATAAGGAACTAATAACACACATATCCTTTTTGAAGCACTGTGTGTGTAATTAACATACAATGTACTTCTTGCTTTATACTATAGTTACAAGAATGACAAACAAAACAATGGCGGTCTTCCTTTTTTGACTTCCGAAAACTTGAGAAGTTATGGCATGTATAAGTAGGTAAACAATGTTTTTCAGTGTTTCAGTCATTTACACTCTGGATCAGCCATTGGCTATGTATTTATTTGTACAGTTGGTTTGTCACAGAGCTGTCTGACTATTAGTGAGTAGAGCTGTAGATTGATATTTTTCATAAACAAGGTATACTGACTTGACTTAAAATTCATGTTATACACAAACAATTACATGTTACATAAGTTATCAAACTGAACAATTTCGTGCTGAAGACGTTTTTGAATATTTCCCATTTATTATATAAGGATGAATAAAAATGAGACTATAAAACAGAACATATATATATTAAAGTGGCAACGATGTGCTCCCGCACATTTCCACACCTCAATTGTAGTTTGAAGAGTTAAAATATATTTACTGTTTCAATACTTATGTTTTCATGTATTAGTGGTGATTCTTTATAGATAGAAATATATTGGCAGCTACCTGGCAGCCATATTTCTTTGCATGTTTATATTTGTAAATGTATATTGTTTTATTGACCTTCGAAATGATTATGAAACATGTGTATTTGCACAGCATGATAAAATGACACTGATGTCAAGAAAGCTAGTATTTTCGACTGAAATTTCTAAGTGAAGTTATATATTTTAATTTCCATAGAAAAGATTGTAAATGTAAAGCAAAAACTTTTTTTTTTTTTTAGAAACCAAAGGTGTGATCTGTTTAAGCAGGATTTCACCAAAGCTATACTCTTTAAAATGGTCATCAAATAAAAGCTATACTCTTTACACATACCACTCTGGGTGGCCCTTCTTTGGGAAGACAGTGTATACGTATACGTATGTCCCAGTAAAAACTGGTTAAGTCTACTTAATTACTGTTGTATTATGGCTCACCACTCCGGTTATTGTATCCTTATTTGTGATAAAAGCATAGGATCCTGTTACGTCCTGACAGTCTGACAAGGGTGGTAGCTTTACCTGACAATTACCTGTTGGAAAACGTCTACATTAATCCTGACACCAACTACTCTAGTCTGTCTGTAGGAACCATCCCACCAATATTTCGTGCTCATGTCGTGACATTTAATGCCTTAGCTGGTGACAACAGAATTGTCATGGCATATCAAAAAGATCTGGAAATCCGTTCTGTAGAAACATGGGATATTCTTTATGGTGTTCAAATTCTGGATCTCCCTACAAATATACAGCAGATTTGCCAAATGAATTCAGCAGGGTTTACATAATGACGTTGCCATGCAATAGTTAATATAACATGATATAATTACATGTTTATACAACCTAGACCATTTGTCACTTCATAGATTACCATCAAGCCATTACATTTCATTGTCATAATATATATCAAAGAACCAGAGACTGAATGATGTGAATGATGTTTAGGTTATGAGCCTTATAACTTTTGATAAATTGAACTGCATCACCATAGTCACCATACAATTCTTCTTACTTTTTGAAAACAAAATGAAATAGAGGCATACATAATGTACATGTAGATGGGAGGCAGCAACTAGTCCAGCGATATACAAGAATAGCTGGTCAATGTGTTACATTATGTCCTTGTATGGGTGCTTAATCAATCTTCATGTGAGAAAAAATAACATGATTTTTCATAGTGTTTAACAGTACATGTATTTTAAATATAGCGGTTTTTTCAATCAATGTTTATAAGACTTGCCTCATTTTCTCTCCATAATAAGTTACGCAATAGTCATATATCACTGAGAATTTTGACCTTTAACCTATACAAAGACAGAAAACATAGAATTTCTTTGATCTGCTTAAATTACTATTTAATATTTATGTTGCATGAACAACCATGTCCTCGAAGATATTAACCTCAGTCATAAACTACATGTATATGGATGGACCGTGAATCTGGAACCAGATTTCTTTTTCATTTCACGTTGAATTTCCACTAAGTGATCACAATATCTTTGAAGCATTAGAACAGTGTGTGTAGTCTTATAATATGTCGTTTTGTCGATATTTGGTGATTGTTCATTACGTCCTGAAAAAGTGTATATTTTGGTAGTGATTGTGTAGTAATCTAATAACAATTTCGACATAAGTTATGTTTCATTTTTTTATAAGGGTAATTACTACTTCCAAAAAGGTAGAAACAATATAAACAATTAGACAGCATATATCGAAGAACATATATATATATATATATAATTATACATCATTTATATACCTATATAATTATACATCTCTTTAGCCAAAGATAATTCGTGACCAATCTGTCACCCACCATAGGCCAAATAGTATCGTTGAGTAATTATTTCGATTAATACTTCTATGCCAAATTATTTATTATTGTAATTTTCTTGTTGATATAAAATTAAGAAATATTGGTGCTAGAAAACATAATGGCAGGGGTCAGTCAAATATGTAACCCTATACTTTGTAATTACTTATAATTTTGAATTAGGAGCATCTCAGTTTTTGTAGTAGTACACACTTAGCTTGAATGGCGTTTTAAGAATACTGTGTCATCATTCAACTGTGCAATTGTCAAGACGATGCTTGGGAAATGGTAGACAGAACATATAGATCTGCTAAAATATGTTTGTGAAGTGACACGCATGCATTCCTTGTTATAGTAACAGTGATAGAAAGGGTGTGACTATGAACTGAAGGACATTATTCTTCACAGGTTTTATTGTCCCTTGTATAACTTTTCTTTCAATTTTTATCATATCATTGGAGAGCACAGTCCTTGCCAGATATAAATAAAAAGAAAAATACGAGAGAATAATCTGATTTAAAATAAAAACGCTTTATAAGTGATTTTAAATAATGAAAATTCATAATTAATCATTTGAATGAGCGTTACGAAGCAAGTTTCTGTCTTCTGTATGACGTAATAATGAGTATCGTATCAGTAGCTGTCGTGTTCATGGGGAACGTAAGAGAGCCTTTACCTGGAAACGACATCAGTCATTATCGTTAAAGGTAAGATATATATTACCACTGGAACGAGTTCAGTCAGTTGTTATGAAACACTGATTTGTTATTTTATTGTCACATATATTAAACTATTCTTGAATTCATGAAAATGTTATTACATGTATAGTAGTTTAACATTGACCAGATATAGCATTAAATATTGACATAATTATACAGTCAGGTTGTGTTTCAAGCGGTTAGTTGAGTGTCATTTTTTGCATGAACTATTTTGCTTACTTACATAATTATGATGACTCTATTGTCTTACTTTTCAGACGTGGATAGCTAAGAGGATTATCTTAATATCGTAAGTATTACTATTGATAGTGGTAGAAAAATGTCTTGAAATACGAATTGATCATCTGCAGATGATATACTCCAGAATATTCTTACATCAGCAGAATTTTTTCAAAAAGTAGTTCAAGAACATGGCTTGATGCAGCTTTTTCAATCAACGCTTATCGATACCACAGGCATTTGTTTCTGTCAATAAAACAGTCCTGACCAAACAAAATCACACCCTACTCACGAAAAGAAATATGAGTAGGGTGTGATTCTTTTTGTCAGCGATATTTTTATTGACAAAAACAAATGCCTGCGATCAATACTCTGATAATTAGTGGTAACTCATGACTAATATATTATTATAACACTGAGAAGTTAGATTTTCCTCAAACGTTGGATATTTTGCTATGTTGCGGCTACACAATATGACAATGTTTAATTAATTGTTGATTTCTATTTCTCTCAGGTCGTTGCCTCGACATATGATGTACACTGGGTTTTGATGCCTCTTGAAAATATTTGCCACGATTTATAAGAATAAAGAACCCATCCGTCTTCGTCCTTCTTTGCTGGTAACATGCACGAGTAATACAAACTAACCACAATCTAATAAAAACGAAAAATAAAATGTAACGGCATCATAGTAAATGTGTTCTTTAACATTTTATTCAAAACTTTAACAGCTTGTTCATAATCATGTCTAGGCATAATCATATACTGAACAAATATAGCTTTTTGAACATATTTATATTTAGTTTCGTACTTGATTTCGAAGTTTGGTCCCGTTGCTTAGTGTTACATAATGTACGTGTTTGCGTATAATGCGTTTGTGCTAGTCGAACAGAAATCTATTCAGTGCCATTTATGTCCATTTCCACTCTAACTTAGCCTGTTTACACTGTTTACATGTGTGAACAAAACATAATGCTTGTTTTATTACTTTACATATAGGCAAATGGAGAAAATTCGTCCCATTAAACAAAAAACAATGGACTGCTTAGAAAATATGTAAGTGCCCTCGTATGTGGTGAATATTTACCATATGCAGAGAATACTATGTAATGTTTTACATTGCGCAATGAGCAGTTTTTACATGAGACCATAACTCGATTATGAATGTCGAAGACAGCAAACTTAGCGTCACAGCCTTTAGCGACATTGAAGAGTTACCGATGCCACATTTTAATGATTTACGTAAGTTTAAACTCATTGTTATAGGATGGATAATATAAATATGTGTATAGTTGTGTGTGTTTACATTGACGATCATAGGATATAGAGGAAACGCGTTTGAAAATTTTACTTCTTTTAGATTTAAAAACAAACTTCGGAACTCGTTTCATAATGGACATAACTTAGTCACATACATAATTTTTACGCGTATGTTTTTTTAAAAACATTTTCCTCATTGAAAAAATAAACATTTAATGTAGAAATATAGAAGCATACTGGGTGTTCTTACTGAACAGAAGCGAATATCCGATAGTGATTTGTTAAGTTCTAGTTTTTTGAAGCCTTTTTAATTAATCTTGTTTTACACTTTATGAAAATAGCAATACACCTATTCTTCTGTACTGAAACATATACCCTTCTTGGAATCAAGAGCCATTTTATCTCCACATTGAACTTATACAATTATACATTTTGTCCAAAAATGACTGTTACTGCCAAATGTTGCCCTTCAGATATACTGTTTAGTGCTATGTGTGGATATATTGGTCTTACTTATGTGTGTTTATATTTGTCTTATATCTTCCATTGTTTATTTACTCTATGAACTGCCAAATGAAAGTCGTAATGTGTCGTAGATATTTGTCATGTTTCATAACTTTTCAGAATTCCTGAACTGTTGATATATACCTATAGCATAATTGATGTTGCATATTATATATTAGTAAAGAATCGAAATATGTGAAAATAAAATATTTAAATGTATTTTTGTCAGAATCACTCAGTCAAGAACGGTTTGGCTTCTTCAACGTTGGTAAAATTAGACATTAGTAATACTAACAAGAACACATGAGCATCCAATGACATAGTTTGCCTTCCAAATCAAAGAAATATTTATTTATTTTTCCCCAGGATATATATATTTTGTCGCTCGTACAATACAATACATTTAAATATCACATTTGGAAAGTTCAATTATAAACATCCATGCAGAAATAATATTTTCCTCGCCCAGCACTCGAAATAACTTTTATTATGTCCATTTTAACTTTATTTTGATAATCGAAATACAAATGTTGAGGTTGGTAATACTTTAAAAGTTCGATGTTTGAAGATAACAATTGACAGGCACTTTAACTTCTTTAATTTGATGAGCATTGTTCTAGTATGATGTCATCAGGTTGTGAACGTGCTATTTGTGCTGTGATCATGACGTGACCAACTGTAACACAGGTGTTTTTTGTTACGATGCGCATGAAATCGTGAATATTAGATAATTCCAATCTTCAAATTTTGGTTTTGTATATATATATAAAAACCTGAAACATTTTCGCGGATTTTTTTACTTATTAAAATGGATTGTAATTGTAAAATTTACTATATACATTTGAATTGTAACATAGTTTGCATGTTTAACTATGATATACTTTTAGATCAACATTCGATCCAATGGTTGTACACTAATAATAGTTCATTATTGTTTCTTTTGCCTTTTCCATTAAATTTGAACTTCATTGAACAAAGTTGCAATAGTGCAGTAATTTTATAGTCTTAAAGTTTGTATACGCTCGTCAACATTTTGACTAGATATTATGGTGTTTGGAGTGTACACCCGGTCACGCATTGATTTCCTTGAAACGTCTCTGAATGTAATGAAAATCAATAGCAAGAAACAAGCAGAATACACAAAGACATAGGTCGAAGTTGAGCAAACTGCACAACCAATTCGCATACTGGGCTCCGTTTGGTTGGTAGTTTCTGCACATTAACTGGATTAAATAACAACCATAGTATACAATGACAAAAGGATAAGTTTGAATTTGAAAAAATGCACATACTTAATTTGCATACTACACTCTAAGTGATCGACGTTTCCGAACAATTACTAAAACAATTGACCGGATTCTGATGAAACTTAATATTATTGTATCAAGACAAAGGCTAAGTTCGAAGTTGAACAAAATCTGCCCTTGGCATTGGACGCGCGTATCATTGATCATTTATTAGGGGTGGATGAGGGTTTTGCAAATATTATATTACACAAGAAATCTGTTTGCCTGTGTTAACATTAGTCAATTTTCTTTTTTAACAACAAAAGCTTCATACCAAACGTTTAATCTTTTTGTACATCTTCCCTTTAACCAAAGTATATATATTATATTTATTGATACGGAATATGAGTCGTTATTGTACCTAAATCCGTGTCCAGTGGAGCATATTTTATGCAATATATAAACTGTATATTAATGTGGATTAACCGTATACTTTCCTATCAATTATGATATTGATTATGATTATTTATTTTGGATTTGTTTCTACAATGATTTTAGATAATGTTATCACTTACGTATCATGTATATATTATTCACCCTTGGGTTTCTAGGTTGAGTCCCATGTGATATAAGCGTCACATTCTTTGTTGTTTTGATTTACCATTATTTGTTGTTTTAATTTTTATTTATTTGTCTTTTTTTCTTTAGTAACACTTGGTTGATTGGAATACGATAAACTTTGTTCAATATTTTTTATTAAATACGAGTGATTTATGAGATACCCTTAGCGGTATCCAGTTAGTGATCAACCACTGCTTCCTAATCGTTGAGTTTTAATTCAGTGGACTTAATTCAATTGCGGTTAAAACATGTATAGCCATGATACCTGATAATAAAGCGTTATATCTGCAAAGCTCATCTATTTGAAAATTTGGTCAGCCTAATTCCATGAACAAATAGCATTGAATGTTCAATTTGTCGTGTACCAGTCATAGTACATGTCACACCTTGGTATTTATGCCCTTGTTCAACGACGATAATGGAATCAGATTGATAGTTGTTGCTTGTATGAGATTTCGAACCGAGTATTCGAGTACAGCGAGATTCGCATGCTAGTATGCTAAAAGATATAGTATTTATCTTTTATTTAGTGCTTTTAATGTGTTGTGCCAAGTTTATTTAAGCTTAGTGTTTCATGCCAAATGCAGTTATCATTATATATTGGTTGTTGTTTTTTTATCTATTTATTTTATTGTTCACGTATGGTTTTTCATATTGCAGTGTGTTCATTAGCTTAATGATGATGTTTTGTGTCGAAAACTGACGATGTCTATATTGTTGATCCTATTTATTCGATCATGACTGCAACATACTTTAAACACACTTATGTAAGTGTTATTACAGCTTCATATCCTGAGTACAATTGACTTGCTATTATTGATTACTGCATCTGCAAAAAGCTTTAATTTCAGTGGTATTTTCTCTTCGATATTGAAAATACGAATCCATGCAAATCTGAACACGTGCATTCACCTTACCTTCATGGTCGTAAAAATAACTTAGTGAGAAAATAACTCTCTATAATTTGCATTACTAGATCTTTTTTCGATAGACAATAACGTTAAACTCTAGTTGGTTCTACCTAATACAGAAATACGACTCGTAGTCTATATGAATTTTGTCATTTCATATATGCTACCTGCAGAAACTTTCAACGACTTCAGCTGATATGGCTGGATGATGAGCTTGATAAGCTGTTTCAGCAAGTAAAATTCAACAGTAACAATAATACAAAATCCGGAATGGAAAACATCAGTCTATTATTACTATTATTAAATAGGTATTCTGTTCCTAAAGTACATTATACACACTAGCAAGCACGGTGATATAAAGCATGATAATAAAACATTTTGATATGTTGGTAATTTCACCAGAAATAAAACCGCATAATTAAGACCGCTATATACTTGCGTTTACAGTAACTATAATGAATGCAGTTTGTAGCGTCATTTTTCCGTGCAGATTGAATTTGTTATTTATTGTGTTGTTTTTATTGTAATATTTAGAATAAAGTGGTCAAAATAGAACCTATCTCTCTGATTTTTTATTAAACAACTAGAACATAGCACGGTTGATATTCTTCTGGGCTCTAAATGGTTTTACACCACGATGGACGTTTTCGGAAACTCCGAAGCGTCACAAGGTACTGTCTTACGAAAAAGAAAAAAATGGCTTCCATGTTGGTTTGTCTGTTCAAACGGTGAAAGAGAAATGACGTCTGGAGTATGTTATAAATCCTGAACACTTACCACAAAACTGCTCACAGTCGGCAAACTGTGCTTTAAGTATGCTGGCTCATCATTTAAAGTATTTAACTTTCTTATAATCATCTACAGACAAGAAAACCAATATCAGTACTGGCATAAAGCGTTGGTCAGTTTTGCTTGTTTTATTTCTGGACCAGTTCATGACTTTTACCGAAGTAATACTTGATCACAGAACCGTTTTTCAAACTTTCACACAACAGAAATAATTCTTGTTCATTTGAAACCTACTAATACGAAGAAAGGAAGTGTGATTTTTGTTGCTATTATGGTTGGAATATCCCCATCTTCAATATCATGGGGTCAAAGGTCAGATTAAATGAGTTCTTAACAGTGGCGTCAACAGCAGATAAGCTGTTGTTTTTAGTCCTTATCATCTTATCAGAATTAACACCAGCAAAATAATAAGAGTTGACAAAGTGTGGAAAAAACAAGGAAAATGTCCACTTGGGAAAAAATGTGACTTTGTAACTCCTAAAACAATTGATATTTAAGCACAGTTGTTGAGAAAAGCACAGCAACCAGAATAGTAAATCACAAGGAAGTGTTATGAAATGCTCTATATTATTATTATTATGAACTGCTACCAAGACATTAAAAGACATTTAATAAATATCCGTAATAGCACACGCTCGTATGACATGTATAATTATTTAGCTAATCATATAACCATACTTGACGCGAAAATTCAGTAAATTATTGAGTTGCGGTTATTTCATGCATACAGCTACTATTACATTGAATATTGGACAGTTTTCAGTTATCGCCAAGGATCAACTATTGCTATTTATTATATCAGCAAATGAACTAGATTTATGCCGTTCGAATTCATTTATTTCTCATAGTACCGTCAACGACGAAGTTATCGACGAATCTTATGACAAAATCGCAGACCATCAAGATTACAGTCCTAAAATGTTTCCTCTTACAAATCTGAATTACCGTTCAAATTTTGAGTTTGGGATGATGTACATTAAGGTATAATTTAGCTGCTACAGCTAAGCATTTTCGCTCTAAATCGGTCCTTGAATGGTACAACTTCAATGTAGATGACGAATGATTCTTGATACAGAATATCCACATTGCCCGGCAGTGTCTTATAAGGTACACAACCCCTTTGTCTTCTGGAATGGTGTACCTGAAACAAAATTAAAGAACACATTATACAAATATCAGTTTCCAATAGCCGCAATGTCCTTTAACTGAATGTTTGTTTGCATGAGTTACTGATTCAGGACGCATTTAAAGAGCTACATTTTTCGCCATGTGTAAAATATTGTACATGCCTCTAACCTAAAGAAACCCAATCTCGAATTTTGAAAAGTACTGGTTAGTTGAAAATTAAGGAAATCTGCTACCTCACATATTGTACTTATGAATTGTGTTTAAAATGCAACGTCACAGGAATTAACTGCTTTAAAATTTTCAAAACATGCTAACAAACCATGAAGATTAGAGAAGTGGTGTTTGGCCTAATAGATGCTGGGGTCGGAGGCCATTATATTTGTTTTTTAAAAGTAATTTAGACCAACATTCCAGCTCAGGGATCAAATGTATGAAAAGTAACCTCTGAACTTCTATTTAAACATGTAGCATTGAGTAATGGAATATATGCCAATGAGCTTGATGACTGCCAAACTCTTTGTTGGAATAAATTACCTTGAGCCACATTTAAGGTCGCAGGGTTAACTATTTATATAACATCTTTAAACGATATTTTCTAATAAAGAATTATTTCGATAAAAGGTTAACCGGATATACTACTATGCACATTTGACATCATAATAGTCATTTATGTTGGACACTTTAAACCTCTTTTAAAAAGTTACAATGCCTAGAATGATGACGGTTAAACGGAGAGAAAAATCATTTTTACCTTCATGGACTTTTGAAAGATCCCATTCAATTCTTGTTACACTTATTTTCGCGATCTTCTTCAAAAGACTTTTCAAAATTACCTCATAAAGGGTACGAAAAAATAAACCGTTGTTTAGATATAAGTAATTTTACATATAAATGAGTACTTGGGATATGTTTTAACTCGTGGCACACCCTCGATTTCACATGACACTCTTCTCCCTCTTGAATTACGAATCACACCACTTGCAGAATTCTATGACAATGTTTGTGCTTACACGTCGTAATTTGTCCGTGGTATGACTATGTTGCTGCTCATTCTTTGAATACGCCCGGGGACGTGGATGGTCCTGTAATTAATTTGTTCAGTCCTGTTATTAACTTGTAGATTTGACTGATCCCGGTCGATGTATACATACTTCAAGTTCACTCCAGCAGCGTCTGGGAAGTTCCGTTCAAACGTCTCCTACAATTAATAGTTTTTATAAAGGACACAAATAGACTTGTCGTACTACTATGGACGTGTGTCCTGTCCTTTTTTACTGTACTGTATTGAATTTCAATTTAACACTTGTCTATTCACGTTCCTCAATACGTCTTTCTTACAAGTAATACTCTTATTTTCGAGGCCATTTAGACAGATAACCAAGTAAGACTGTAAATTCAATTACTTCTTTTAAATAGTTTGTTGACATACTTGTCAAATCTCAAGATATCTTCTTATTTGTCATTATCTCGTATTCTTGGTAAGGCAACACAATTTTGCAACCTACTGAAGCATACTCAAGACCGGATGTTCGCTGTGATGAATACTCAGCATGTTAAGAGCATAATAGTTTCGGGATAATATAGAGAAGAAAACAAATAAAGGAATTATCGGGTTGTTTAATCATGAAACACTGGTTTCAGATTTACGTAATTGTCATTTCGTAACCGAGATGTCATATATATTATTAGATTACCTCAAGGAAGTAAATTAGCATTCTCCATTCGCTCGTTACTATGAATTCATTAACGTCTAAATAGGCCGCGTATCCGAAACCACGTAGATATTCTATGCAGTGGAATATAGCTACGAGCTTGTCCTGGTCTAGCTGACGACGGACAGCATCATCGGTCGGTATGGCAAAATTACGATCGACATCATCTGCAATATGCAAATACGAATTCTTTAATTTTTTAATAATTAACACATTGTAATTCTCATAAAAACTAATATGTTATCGCTTGACTATATATGAGGCAACTACCTAAATGTATAAATGATCATTATCCTGATATTGATTTAATAAAGAAGTGAAAAGAAATTAATAATGAAGACAGGCAATATATCTATGACTTGAAAATTGCTTTTTGATAAAGAGATAATTATTTAAGAAATGCAAATAAAAGTTGATTTTTATGACTCCAAGATTCAATACACATTCAAGCTGTTCGATTATTAATAAATACTCTCCCAACAATTCTTGGTTGTTTGCCACGGTTATGCAACTCTTATAAGTTTGAACGTTAGAAAGCACATAACGTTATGGGTTGTGTTGTTAAATGTCCTGCTCTGTATATGAATTGATGAAAATTCTTCGAACGTGTTACATATATGTGGTTCCTAGCCTGCTTAGCCAATGCCTCAGAAATAAGGAAAGCTAACCATTTCACGTTCCAGTTTTCTGGAAAGTTACAAAAAATTGTGAAACCGGTTCAACATACCTTGTGATCTACCAGGTAACGGGAAAGGAAACTCATGAATCTCCAGAAAACCATTTTTTAGATAATGTGATAGCACCGTCATTATTTGAGCATCTGGAAGCTGAAGAACCAAATAGATCTTATCCACTCCTACAGATTTGTAATATTCCAGCCATTCAACTAGCTGAATAGGACGTACCTCTCGTGTTAGCACAGAATAGATAACAAATCTGTTCGACACTCTTGGCCTTGAAGGATAAATAACGTTTGTAAATTGTTTAGTCATTGCACATGTCTTGGAAGCTGATATCATAGCAACAGAGATCACATGATTTTTACTTGACGATAATGAACATTTGTATTGTCGAGCAGATAACATGTTTTCGTCGTATGGAGCATATGGAGCATTTAGTGGTTTTGCATTAACTTGAACTAACTGTGCATCTGAAGTCAAAATACAGCATTTGTAGTTCATGTTACTCGATCCGTCCCACACATTTAGTGTTATTCGGGTTTGATCATCAATGTGCATCACTGCAGAAAACACGGAGAGTAATGTGGAATCATGTAACCGGATGTAGTTGCGCTTCAGAAACTGAAAAACAAATCATCACGTATTTCTTTATTTAGTATACAATATGTACATATCTGTCAAATAAAGTTAGCACAATCAGGAATATACGGAAACAGACTTACTCAAAAGATTAACACATACTATCAACTTTTAAAACTCTACACGTGTAAGTGTGTGCATGAATGTTTGTCCTAGGAATGTATATCTGTGATGCTTGTTATGGATTTGTAACTCCAATAGCTGATTTACAATGCCTCATCACTTGAACACTACGGCACAGGATCCATTATACCCCATCCCAACTGTATTCTACTTCAATCTAGAAAAAGGTAAATGGTTAAATGAACAAGAATCAAAGAATCAAAACAAAAACAAATAAGATTGCTTGAAATCAGTGTCACCGAACTCAACATAGATATTGTCAATCAAGAACGAAACCTTTTACATAATTTCATCCTCAGGGCATTTCGTGTTTGGCCTTTGTTGTAATTTTCACCAAAAAATGTTCCAAAATGATTTTACAACCATATATGTATATCGCTATTCGCCTTTTTGGGGGGAAAGTCTTATAATAAAAGAGCATGGAGTCTCTTAAGTTTGGTTGAAGAATGGTGGTGCAAAGAATGGAAAACGCAACAGTGATAGAAAAATCCTTTTGAGGTGAAGATATTCAAAATTGATCTGTTTGTCAACATTCTATTAAATCCACTTCAGAACAATACAGTGTCACGGTAAAACTTTGACACTGATTTAATGGCACTTAGAAGTCGTAAGATGTTTGGTGTACTGCATGGTTGATCGACTAGAAGAGCGAACGATAAAACGTTGTTTTAAATGATACTGGTGAAGTTTCGGAATCCAATACACACGAGGTAGGTCCGTATCGTTATCATCAGAGCATTATGTAAAAATGTAATACAGACGCGTGATAGCTTGTATTTCCTCTTTCGAAAAATTGGAAAATGTATAGATAATCTTTTTTCAGTCATGCCTGGTTCTTTCTGAAGACAGGATATGTAATGATGTTTGCGGCATCGAGAAATGCAGACTCTGCAAATTAATTTTGGAATTATTGACCTTTTAGTTTGACGCACTCTGGAAGAAAATCTATAGCCTAGTGTCTTGCGTAGTTTTCCCAAAAAAATCATCGTATCAGAAAATTTATATTCCTGTTCATAGAGGCATCTCGCTGCCTAGGACTCCTTATGAAAAATATCTCCTAGTTTTGCATTATGAGTAATACTTAGATCGCCAGTTACTGTATATTATAGTTGATACTTAATTTGACATTTTTTTAATATGGTATATTTTATAGGTCATACTTTAGTTTATTAGTGTTTACTTACAATACTATACAATCAGACTTTGCCATTATCGCTTTTTATATGCACTGATCGCATGATACGAAACGATAATTATAAATATCAGGATATAGAACAATACAAAGTACCAAAAGTTGATCATCATTACAAGACCTTTGAATACTTACCAATATTGGTTGAAAATATTCGATATTCATATATATTGTGTAAATGAAGATACCAACTATTGTGCTTATTACGAAACACAGTCCCCGGGGAAGGGGTATGCGCGAACGACCGGAACTGTAAGCCATACCCCTTCAATGGAAGCAGAACATTGTATTAACAAACGTAACAGTATATTACACATACGTTTTTCGCTTCATTCAACACAAAGTCTTATTCTAGACCAACATTTACTCATAACAGACATTACTAGGATAAAACCGTTCTAGGATACTATCGGGATATTTTCAGAAACGTTATCTTTTTGGTTTCGAGAATCTATTTAGGGTCTTTTCGTCTCTGTTTTGTTGTTTCGAAAATTCCACCATGTATTCGCTAGGGAAGCGTTAAGCTAATCATGCTTCGGATTTCAAGATGGAATTCCACTCCAGTATACGTATTATACATGTAATTATCCAAGCAGTTATGATACGAATTTAAGGCTTATATAGTAAAAAGTATTCTGTCGTAAACTAACAGATAATTTCGTTATTTTTGTAGTCCGCCACCAATAATATGAAGAATACTTGGACTATTACAAGACTGGTATTATTCAATATGTATTGTGAACTATGTGGGGTTATTCCGTTCAATGCTATTAACGTCTTTTGACTAAATAGGAAAACTAGCACTGCCACTCATATAAACATTGTCTTTGTTGTAAACATTCCAACACGTAGAGCCTTTATGATTAACAAGACCAATTGCTGACTTAGTCAATGTACAGCTAAACAAGAAATTAACACATCACACAAATCCAATACTTACGATTAGAATAATGACTATGGTGAAGAATTGGATATGCTAACATGTACACAGGTTGACATTTTACAACAATATATCCACCGAATCAATCACGTGATTATGTTTTGTACACCCTTTGAATGTTATCAGTCACCATTGTTGTTTTATCTATCGTCACGCCGATTGATTACTTCGAGCTTAAAGGTTATCCTATTAAGACAGGTTTTATATGTAAATTTGTTTTTATTTAAATGTTCTTTAAATATTTAAAGAAATCATCATGAGTGCATATAATACATGTAACGTCTTGTGTAGAATCGCTTTATTTAAATCAAGTTCTGCCTGAAATACATTCTGTATAGCCAATAGCATGCATATTTGAAATAGGTTTACCATCGTCTCTTCTTAACAGTATTAGTATTTTGAAGATTTTTTATTATTATTTTGTGTCCGTTTGGATGGGAGGTACAGTAAAAACGGATGCTATTTGCTTGTAGTAAATCTTCCAGTTTACATTTTGATTATAGGCCTATATAAAGATACATACCAAATAGTAGCAAATCAACACTAACGTGATTCATTGTAATTAATACAAAAACAAACAAATAGTGGGAACTCTCTTCTACAAAATTTCCAAATGAACATAAAGGATGGTCTTCAAGATTTCTTTCGAAAAGATGACGTTATAAAGAACTGGATCCGAGACGAAGTCTACTGTGATATACTTGGCATTGTCTCGATCATAATTAATGATACTCTGGATACGTCCCCTAGCGTTTTCGTCGAGCTCGACTATGGCAACGAAGTATTGTGACAATCTAAAGTGAAATAACTGAAGGTAAATAAGACTTCAGATAGAACTTAGTAGTGCATCTGATACCTGCAATATAATTTTACGGTTTTTGTTGAGAAAGGCTACGTACCGAACATGTACATTGTTGACGTTGTGATCACTCGACCATAACCTGGACAAAACTGCTAGGTCACATCGTTAATCGGATTATTTATGTAATAGAGTCTGTCGATGTGTTGTAAGGCGTTTGAATAGGGGAGACACTTGATTGTTTTGATTTCATTAACTACAACAAGAAAAAGCAAATGAAATATGTCACCCCGTTTAAGATTGACAACTTCCCACTCAAAATGGTATAAGGCTATATGGTACAATATGTTACACACTTTCTATTAGAGTATCGGTTTCCATCACTTGTCGATAATTACAGCTTTAAAATCACATTCTCGTGTAAAAAATACAATGTTTGCTGTTATATTCATTACAGGTTGCTGGACTTTTTATGGAGGCTTAAATGTTCTTTATGAAAAAGGAAATGACAATAAATATATATGTATTTAGAATATAACTCTGCTATACCAAAGGACAATTTAAAGGCCGAACAAATTAAGATAGGGGATACTGCTGCACAAGTTATTGTCGCGTGAAGAGGGTTTTCACTTAAAAAGAAAAATATTTAAACAAAAAACTTGAAATATTCTCCTTTTCTATAGCAGATAATGCAACAAAAATAATGTTTTCCTCCGGACATAGAGTTTCTGCATTTAGCAAGAAATTGATTAATTTCGACACTCTGCAGTTAATATTCATTGATAGCAACACTGGTAAAGTAAAGAAATCCTGAGTTTGGGTCCCCGGAATGTTGGGTGGTATTTTTTCATTTCCAAGTAATCCAAATTTGGAAAAAACTACAGTCTACAAGTTAGATTTTCTATGGAAAAAATCTGTATAAGGCATTAAAAATGCTCTAATAGTGGCATTGGTGATTATGAAATTAATCTTAAAAAAAAAGTATGAGTACCTTTCTCGCAGTGTTATTTCAACGTTTAAGTATACTGTTATCACAGTTTATATAGGTCTGTTAAGCAGACATCATTTAACGTTTATCACGAGATTGTATTTCATAGAATAATATTAAAGGCTATGGTTAAACATAATATAGCAACTTCAACCATGTTTACCTTTTATTAACATGTATAGTAAACACACATCTATAGCAAATTAGTACAAAAATAATCAACTAAAGATGTAATAGAGTAGCTTCAAGTGAAACCCCTTGAAATGACATTCAAGACATGGATTCAGACTTTTAACATCACAATATGTATAGCTCGATACTATAATGGCTGTTAGTGTTGGGTGGTTGGCTCTAATATTGAACTGTACAACTAGAAGTGCAACTTCCTTGGAATGAGAAGTACTGCATCGTTACAAGTAAAACGTTTTGGTTTTGTTCGTTTATATCTTATGTTAACAAAACGTAACTTGAAAGGATTTGTTGATGGATGTAATGATCGCAAATCAACATAGCTGATAAAGAACACAGGTACTAACAGTTTATTTTGTGAAATCAGATTTTCTATAATAGCTTTATATACTGGAATGATACCTTAAATGCAGTTGGACGCATATGACGGAAACTTATTTCAAGGTGCACCCATGTTGACTCTCTGGTTAGGTCAATGTGTTTTTGATACTTACATGTACCTACACTTATGAAGCAGAATATCTATTGAAATGACATTTTCCTTCTCCCTTTGAAGATGATTTATATCCGTATAAAGGGCAGTCAGACGTGTCGTACCACTAAAGGCGTATGGGTTTTAGTTAGGGACAGACATCAGTTAAATCAACCCCGAATACAAAATCATCTGTGTGGAAAGCTAGGGTAGGGCAAATACACACGGAGAGACATACAACCGGAATTCGTTTACGATAGTTCAACTGTTTTCCTAACGTCATATAAAGTTAATCAAGCATACATTAAGTTGTATCTACAAATACATCATTGCGACCTGATCATAGATCTGCTAAAACCTGATTTAGTGTCCAGGATCAATTGCATTCATCCTTAGACATGTCACACTGTAGAATCATCTTTAGACGGAGTGCCACATGAAGGCATCTATATAAGTACACTATACATCGGGGCTTTAAATAGGTCGTTGGTTAAATCCATCGCAGAAATAACTACAAACTAGTAAGGGTTCAGTATGTAACGCATAACTGAACCCAGTCAAACAAGAGTCACTCAACTGAAGATATATACGTCCTTACTGTGACTTTGTATTTACGCTGTATTTCTCATCTAAGAAATCTCAAATATATATTTTAATAGTAGAAATTTTCCTATATCATTGATGACTAATTAGCATGAAACGCAAGATATATATATATATATATGATAGCATTATACTACTTCTGCATAATTAGACAATTTCATAAGTAAAACAATTTTAAGGAGCACAATTATAATTTATAGAAAAATATATGATTTCCAAAAAAACATTACTCCTTTTATCATTTTATTTGTTAAAGTTGAAGTAATTCAATCCCCGAATCCTGGTATGATAGAACCATTTACTATGTCAAATAGGTGTTCAAACTCATGTTTGTCAAACAGCAAAATAATAAACATTCTTTATCGAGAATCTGTCCAAAAGAGCGAAATAATGTTAAAATATGTCGATAAATATGAATAAAATAAGGTCGATGATGGCAGGCCAATTCCATTGAGTATATTACAAAGCGGGGCTCAGGTGATAACAATATAAAGACCTACCTGCTGCCACCTAGTATACAAAGGTATTGAATCGTGACGGCGCGTTACCTAAAGCATCGCTGAGTTCTATGCATTCACTTCGATAGCCTTACCTCAGTCATCAACATGGCGAGCGTCCTAATTGACAAATTTCTCTTTGGAGTTTTCTTTTTTCTTACACTCCAATTCAATGTATGGTGTTCAAATCGTATGTTGGAACCAAACCTGAGAATAGCAGCATTCAACTTGAAAGTATTCGGAGATAAAAAGTTGCAAAACAGTGACGTTGTTAATATTCTCGTGAAGGTATGTGATTTACGTTTACTTTCAGTCTTACTTGTTTTAGTTCATACAATCTGCAGATATTTGTTTATACTTCTTTTGCTTTTCTTTTACTATTTACCATCGAAAGTACATACCTATACCCTACCAAATGATACTACAATATTAAACTCATTGGTTTCGATTTTACTAACCTGAGAAAATTACTTTTTCTATCCTCTGTACTTCGTGACCTCAACCGAGTTAGATGGAAATGTCACTGTGGGTTTAGCTTAGAAAAATGGTATTTAACATCTAAAGAGTAATGTTATGAATATCATTACTGTACCAGGTATAACCTATTCATGATAGCTTTCAATTATGGGTATATATATAGAATCACCTGTAGCCTTTTCGTCCATACAAAACTGTATCTGTATTTAAGTATCAGCTTATTGAGTTGTCACACACTAGGAAACATGTCGGTCTTTATTAGGTACATACGTTTAAATAACTGTGTCTGTATTGATGAATCAGATTATCTGGTTTTCACATACTTTGAAACATGTTGAGTACATACATTTAAACAAACTGTAGGCCAGACACGGTTTGTATTGTATGTTTGAATGTCACATATCTTTGAAGGAAGACACATTTATCGAATATAACATATGCATGATGCTACATTGATATTAACTTTGCTAATAACACTTTCAATAAATATATGAATGATGATACATTAACATCAACTATGTGAGTAAAAGAAGAAACCTCGCTGATGTTAACTGAAATATATATAGCGTGATATATAATCTTTGTAGGAATAAGATGTTAGTTTAACGATCGATAAACAATGTCTGAAAAACAGAAACTGTATGATCTAAGTTTCAATAAACGTTGATGATTTTAGTTTGACAGTAGTGTTAATGATACGTTTGTATCTTTTTCATCATAGGGGAACTATTCTCTTAAGTTTAATTTTGCTCGTGCTGTTTATGGAAAAAACATTGCCTTCTTTATACGAAACTAGAAAATAACCACAAAACCTTTTTTTGTCCAACAGAGAATTAATTCCAAAAATTAAAGGGTCATTCTATATATATACCCATAATTGAAAGCTTTCATGAATAGGTTATTCCAGAAATCAAGTGTGAAAAACGAAAAATAACGAAAAGAAATAATTAATTTTGCCTTTCCTTGAAGTGTAATATTAGCTTTAACTTTTTACTGAGTTTGAACTACTCGTCTTCGAATATAGTACGCTTCAGTATGTCAACTAATACAACATATAACGCATGATTACAACAGAATGGACAAAGTGACATTTATTTTACGTTGCGTGACATATAGATTACATTCATTGACTTTTATATGAGAAAGTAACTGAGGTGGAAACAGTAATAAAGGGAGGTGGGATATACGACAATGTCAACAATCACCACACAGGAAACATTCGGAAATTAGAGTCGGTACAAAAACGAACGGTACAGAGTGAACAGAAAATCAACCTGAACTAGCATAAAGATGATGAGGAAACCAGATGATACAAGAGAATGAGCCTTTCCGCACCAAATGTGACAACTGTTAACGATTCTGCTCCTCTTGCAAAATTCATGAAAGTATGAATGACGCCAACTCTCTAAGAAACATTGAGAAAATCCTTAAAATGGTACTTACTAATAAAGTGTTATCGTAAATTGTCTCCTCAGCTTCTTGTATGCTCAATGTTCTTATCGACGTCGGGTTGCGACTTTTTGTCTGTTTGTAGACACTCTGGTATATTTACCTTTATTAGTATTTATTAGTTACATTGTATCAAATATGCCTCGACAAAGTCGCGGCATAGTATCACACATGTTCCTTAATTTGAGGAGATTCCTAAACAACTTTTCCCATTGAAAAACAATATTTTTCTCAAAGATCCCTATGTAGGAGAAAACACAAAAAATTCCATTGTGGTGTTTCGTGAATACACATCTTCTCTTAACTTCGTGTTGGATATCACTGTAGCATGACTGGGCCAGAGCACTACCACTGACCAGATATAGGCCTAGGGGGTCAGAGTACAACCGTTGACCAGGTATAGGGGTCAGAACACTACCGTTGACCAGGTATATGGGTCAGGGCATTACCATTGACCAGGCATAGGGGTCACGATTATTTTCTCTCTCCTTTTCTAGTGTTTTTTTTATAGATATTCTGCAAGATATGATTTTTCTTTCTAGAAATGATTCATCAAAAGCTATAGTTGTGCAGGAGATGAGTTTCAGTGCAACGGCACTCTCCTGGCAGTGGTACAGGAATCGTTAACTTCACTGGTACTGATTTTAAAATGATAATGTTTAGAAATTGTATCTGGTTCAGGAAAGTTCGAGAAAATAGAGAGTTTTTCCCCATCAACTTTTAGTTCCGATGTTGGGATAGTCCAGCAGCCAACTAACTTTACCTGGAAGTGGAGTATATACAATATTTGTTGGTTGATTTGTGTCCATAAATAATTAGAATCCGAATGATGACACCCTTTCACATTGTTTTTTTTCTTATTTGCATAAAACCAAGATGGCCACCATTGTTCTATTTGAATATACTATAATTAAGATCTCTCGGCTTCTAAAAGGGATTTTAAAACAATCTAAAATGTTTTAACGGGGCTTTAATACATAAGGAACCCAATGGAATAACTCTTTTTATGATTTGACAAATTCTTCATTTGCATAAGTCCAAGATTGCCGCCGTCTCTCTCGGGAGACTGGTTTTATGTCACCACATTCTGGTTACAATTTTGGATACATCTTAAATGATTTTTTAGTGTTTTGAACAAATAGAGGTTAACGTTTTGCTGTACTTTTGAATGACATGCTTGATTGATCCAAATGTTGGCAATATCACTGAACACCTTCAATATAATATTAGTATTTTGTCATTGACGTATACGTTAGAATATTTGTGGTTATAATACATGCCATTGTACACAGTTATCAACATGATGTTCCTCTCATTTGTCTGTGTTGACATTAACACGTTTATATCTAATTTGCATCGTTGTCATCTGCATCAGAGGCTATACCACATTTAGTCAGTTCGTTATGACAGTCCTCAGCATGATATCCGAAAAATACAGTGTACGGTAGTTTACTGCTCACAGATCCACATCTTCCTGATTTGCAAGGTGTTTCACTTTCACAAGAGCAGCGAATCAGTTTTAAAATCACTTGTGGAGCAAGGGACACATCTTCATGTATCGATTACGGCAATACAGTCTTAGAAATGTCAAAAACATATCCATCTCATGTTGGATCAAGTGAGGGAGGGTCTAAATCCAAAGCGTGTTTCCAGCTGCTTGCAGGTGTGCCCGTTTGACATTTTCCAGAAATGCTTCTGTTATGGGAGGTAGAGACTTCAGCTTTGGTATGACTGTGGTGCACTTTCCGAAAAACTTTCAGTACCCTGATATTATATTGAAGGTGTTCAATGATATTGCCACCATTTGGATCAATCAATCATGATATTCAAAAGTACAGCAAAATGTTAACAGATTGACAACGGCCATACTGGAATATGCAAATATATTAAAATTGTAATGTAAGATGTATTATATTGGACCTCTATTTATTCCAAACACTAAAACAAATCATTTAAGATGTATCTAAACTTGTATCAAGAATGTGGTGACATAAGACCGGTCTCTCGAGTGGTTTGACGGCGGTCATCTTGGATTTATGCAAATGAAGGTTTTTTGAAATCATAATAAAGTATTCCAATGGGTTCCTAATGTCTTTAAGTCCCGTTAAAACATTTTAGATTGTTTTAAAATTCCTTTTAGAAACCGAGATTTCTTAATTATAGTATATTCAATAGAACAATGGCGGCCATCTTGGTTTATGCAAATTAGAAAAAGTGCCCAAATGTGACATGGTGTCTTCAAGCGGATTGTTAGTATTCTTGGTCTCAGTGACTCAAATCAATCAAAATATATTGTATATTCTCTACTTCCAGGTATACCACTAAAATCCCTTTTGGCTATGATTTCAAGCTTTGGTAATTGTTTAAATGATTTTGAAGTATAAATACAAATGTGTATTTTATTACCTTTAACGTGTTAAACAATTAGCCGACGATGCATTTTACTAAAAACAAATATACCAGGGCAATACTAATTCATTTAGGGTATTCCCTATAAAATAAATCAGCTTTTTTAACCAAACAACGTTATTCGGGACTTAATATCCGTGTGGATAAGTTGAACCTCATCAATCAATGATAAAATTGATTTTTAGAAAGAAAAAAAATAACAAATAAGTTAGAGGTTATCTCTTGAACTCTATTATAACCCAAGACAATATATGCGTTTGCAGAGTAAATCAACGGTGTCCTTGAGAGGTTGTGAGTATCGATGTAATCGCTAATAATACAAATGATGCACCTATTAATAAATGTGTAGGATGACACAGAAAGCATATACCCTTAAATACCTTATGGAAACAAATGTGTTTTTTTACTAATTACACGATTTCTTTAATTTATTTACTTATTTATTTGAGCAGATCATCAAACGATACGATATCACTATCGTCCAAGAAATAAGAGATATAGATGGATCGTCCTTCAAAACACTGATGGAAAAACTAAATAGGTAGGTCATCTGTGAAAATAAATATTTGCTGTGTGTGGATATTTTCTGTTATTTCTGGCTAACTAAATTAATGCAAATAGGTTTTTTCTAATGCCACATTACAAGTATGTGCCCAGCTACATCGCCAATGTTTCCACATAGCAAATAGTTTGTTTTGTCAAACGGTGAATATTTTACGCAGCAAAAAATTGTTTGATCATATTGCGAAATTATTCGCAAAGCAAATATTTTGTTAGGTCGAAATGTGAAAGTGTTCACACAGCAAATAGTTTGTTTGGTTAAAATGCGAAGGTTTGAAATAACAAATAGTTTGTTTGGTAAAAATGCAAGCAATCCATTTTTTTTTCATTTATGATCATGCTTTATTATGATTTTATCAAGAATCAATATTAACTGCATTAGAATACGGAATACAGCAGAGTTATATAAAAAAAAACGGCAACAGGATTACCATTACAATCGATTGAAATGATTCTGATTTTCCTGATAATGTTGCTGATTTTATTTATACTATTTGTGGTTGTTGTAAGTGCAGGACGCTCTATAATGTACCAGTCGCTGATCTCTTTTCTTTCTTTTCTTTTAGTTTTCCATAAATAATTTCGAAATACAGAGCCGTCGTTTTTTAACGGAATTACGTGTCCTGTTTGATCGTTACTGCCTGTAATTACAGAACCCACTCATTAATTAAATGACCCAATCTATACTATCATTGAGTTCTATTCGGCCGAACGAAAATATTGATCTCATCAGCATTCGATTTACCCATAGTATAATTTCTAATAAGCAAAAAAGTAGTTCTAAACTAAGTCCGCGGATATGGCTTCTACAGTTCTGCTTTTTCCTCTAAAGTAGCATTTTAAATATTCGCATTCACTATTTTAAATGAACTAATTCAATTGCTTTATGTTTTTTAATTCAGTCAAGCGATGGATCCAGAGTATGCCAGCGTATTGAGTGACCGCCTTGGTAAGACTAATAGCAAAGAAGAGTACGGAATGATATACAGGTAGGCAACGATAACCTAAAAAAAACCATATTTTAGGATTATAGATTTTTGATAAATAAAGAGTGGTAGACTATTGTGTCAAGACATATCTAATTACATATTGGTTCATCATTGCTCAACAGGTGACGGATACGCGCAAATTTATTTTCCAATGCGAAGCAATACCTCATAAATGCAAGATTACAATCATATTAATCGAAATGAATCATTTTGTGACAAGATTAGGAGTAGAAACCTAATAATATCGTGTAAAATACTTATTTTAATGTAACAATTATTGTACATCTCTCTTGGGTTATTAAATTTCCACTTACAATGTATTTCGTTAATCACAGGAAGGGCCTCGTCCTTTTGGTCGACACGTACCAGTACCCAGACCCAAGTTACACATTTTTTGAGAGACCACCGTTTGCATTTAGAGTTCGCACGAACGCAGTCGGTATGACACACCTCACGCAAGTAATGAACATGTGTTTTACACTTGGGAATATTTTAAGTGTTTAAATGTTACAGATTACGAATTGGTTTGCATGAATTCGTCCCCTTAACCGACAGAAACACATACTCAGGAACATTTAGTGACTGACTCATTCGCTATCAATCATTATATGTGTCGTTTGTTGGTATAAATCGGTCTACAAATGATCCCAATAAAAAGAAAGAAAAATGGGTAAACACTTTTAAACATTATTTTAAATTATATGTCTGTCTAACCAAAACGTTTTATGACGAATATTTTGAAACACTATGAAGAGAACACTAATATGGATGACACATTTAAGATGATGAGCATTAATTGTATATTTATTAAGGTTTTAAACACTCTTATACTGTTATGAATACACATTTTTGTTCCCTTTGTTAAAACATCAATTTTAAACACAACAATAGAAGAAAATGAAGCTTCTGGGCTTCGGTTATTTAACCCGTGATATGTGGTCAACGGTATCCATTATTTAAAACAAAACATTACAGATTTAGATGAGTTTGCAATCATTGCTATTCACACCAAGCCCGAGAATGCTGTTGAGGAAATAAAAAAACTCGTCGATGTATACCAGAACACCAGTGATCACTGGAACGGCTTAAAGGTAACGCATACTACAGATAATGTATATTACAGGTAACGAATATAACAGGTAACTCGTACTACAGGTAATGCATATTAAGGAATTTTGTGTTAAAAGTAATGCATATTAAGGAAATATGTATTAAAGTAACTCATATTAAGGAAATATGCATTAAAAGTAATGCATATTAAAGGTAACACATATCACAAGTAATGCATAGAAGGAAATATGTGTTAAAAATAATGTATTTCATATTGAAATAACACATTCCTGTGCGTATCTGACAGAACTTTCTTCTAGAGTAAGAAAGGGATGTAAGACATTTCTATCTCTGACGTATACTCTGGACAGGTGTATCCACACTTCTCTCGGTGTACGATATCCTTGTTTCACCTAAGAGTTATAATGGGGAGATAAAATTACAAACCAAACGACATGTTCGTATACTCGTTTTTTTTTTTTGCTAAGATCGGTCAAACATACAATGCTTACGTTCTATGTGATTTTTGGTGAAATTAATATTTTGATCAAAAGCAGAACAAATCCATACAATATCTTCTAGGTGTGTTACAAGAAAAATGAATGTTTGCGTTATCGATAAAATAGTATTTTTTTCTTAATTATGGAAGTAAATAGTCGAATTATATTTTATCTCAGAAAAGCAGCTCAGATTACCCCTTCCCCGAATTGTTAAATTCATAAATCCTCAGTTTTTCATGGGTTTTTTTGCTGATTTAAGAATTGATAAAAAAAAAGTTGAAATGAAAGAAAAAGCCTTTTCCTACTTAAAACAGACACTTTGCGGGATCAAAAACCAAACGGGCTGTAGCTGATACACTGAAAACAATACTATAATTTCCCACTTTTTTAGATATCAGTTTCATAATATCGAACATAATTAACTTGTATGGCAATTCAACTTGATGCAATTTAAAAATGGTAAAGCAATGACAATTTTAGTGACTTAGACAAGATAAAAAAAGGTTGAATTTTGACGTTCCTTGTGAACAAAGTTTTTCGTTATTTTTTCAGATAATTGATTGCGTTCAAACTTGGTCTTCGTATATAACATTTTATAAAATCTTGTTTCACAAGAACAAAACGATATTTGGGCGCTATTTAAACCTAGAAGAGCATATCCTTAAAGCAATTAACGGTAACGTACATGAAAGTTATGGTATATTGCCTAATTGGATAGCTCATAATGTCTTGCCTTTTGTTGTCTTCTCGGTCCCGTTGACATTTTATATCGCCTTAGATTTCGGAATTTGTACCTATATCTGCTTTACTTCCACATAGAACATCCTAATCGCCGGAGACTTCAACGCTGGCTGCAGGTATGTGACTGCTTCCGAGATGAAGACCATTGCTCTCCGAAATGACCCGAGTTATACCTGGCTTATTGGTGATAATGTTGATACTACAACCTACAACAGTGACTGTGCTTACGACAGGTGCGTGTCGTTGAAATATTTTGATCACTCAAGTGCATTAATCACACTGCAATGTATGAAGTATCTCCATTTGTCATCTCTCTCTACATTGAGAATATCAATTATCGCTCTTATTTTCTATCTTTATCTACTCAATGACTGTACCAATTATTGTCCTTACCACCGACCTGTATTTTATAATTATATAATGTGTCATTTATCGTCCGTACCATCTGTCTATATCTGATATTGAGAGTAAACCGATTATCGCCCCCTCTGTATGCCTGTATCCCTATTAGCGATCTACTTCATGGTTTTAGTCTTATGTATTTTCAAATGTCCAATGATAATGAAGAGATGCGTTCCATGATGCCGGAGAGAGAAAAGTGCCTTTGACTTTAGATTGTGGTATTTGGCAATGATTAATACAGTACTAAGTAATCGGCCCATTTGATTGATTTTTTAAGCTAACACTATAAGTGTCGTCATATATTTAAACACTATGCACAGTGTTTATATAAGTAATAGTAATGACGTTTACAATATTTTGCAACCACACCAGGCATGGCTGAATTTTCTACATATTCCAGAGCTGCATGCAGCCTTTACAAACTGCTAATTGCTCACCTAAACAGCTTCATTATTTTACACCTTCGTGTTTATTCTTATTAGTAAGTAAAGTATATCCTGCATGTGCTCATGTTGTTACGATTTCACGATATCAAAGTGACATTGTTTAATCGCATAACTACACATTTAGGTTTCGACGAAACTTGTATCATCATTATTTCATCTACTGTAAATATGTAATTGGCAGATTTGTGGTTGCTGGCGATGCATTAAAAGCTGCCATTGTACCAGGGACTGCACGTGTATTCAGGTTTGATGAGGAGTACAAACTAACGGAGGAAGAGGTAAAATACTTTTAGACTCGTGTACAAGTAACATTTTCCTGTAGCATATATAATTGTACAAAAATTGTAGAAATACTGATTCACAATGTAACCAGAGCTCTCCCAGTAAAGAAATATCATGTTCTTTATCAAAAGGCTACAGAGACTTCATTTGATCACTTGATATTAGATTCTAATTTAAGATATGTTGAATTCGGTACATATTTATAAAAAGAAATACATGAAAAATAACTTAGAGCATGGGCCAAGGGATAAGAACAAACATTTATCATTGGCAGTAATGATAACATAAGCGTGTTTATATTTACATGCCCAGAAATTGAATATAATTATATAGTAATAGGGTTTGAATCTCAACCCTTTCAATATTTTGCTCAGGACTAACTCCCCATGGGTTTAGCCGGACTCCGAAGCCAATACTTGATATATCGGTTCATCCATCTCTTAATTCATGTCCACCGAAAATAAGAACTTTAAAGTGGGGGTCTCGGCCATTTCCGATATATGACCCGTTGACTAAGTCCCGAAGCAGGATAGCACCAAACACATTGAATTCGTCCCAATAGCTTGCCCCTTGCGTTGCACTAACATCATTTGTATAACATTGAGACATCTTGGCCAAAGGATGTTCTAAATCTTTTATAAAAGAAGATTTACGTCTATTTCCTCCAATTGTTCCTGCCCTTCTGTTCCAAGGGCACACGAAATAAGTCACCTTGGCCCAGTGATCCTTTAGCATTAATTTGGTTCAAAATTCTTCAATGTATTGTTTTTTTTAAATTTACCTCTATTTCTCCCATTAAGCCCCGTCCCTCTAAATGAACCACAGTCAAACAAAATGTGGTTCCATTGTTTTTTCAGACGAAGGATGTCAGTGATCATTATCCTATTGAAGTTGACATTAGAGGGAAAGGTAAGAAATAATAAAACACCGTACACTGTATCAGTGTAACGTTTATTTTAGCATTGTCAACATTTATATTGAGGAATAGATCTATCATGATGAATCCCCAATATTTTTTATGAATTCATCCAACAATTGTTTTACCCTCCTCAAGAAATTGCCTACTGATGCTGTATACGGGACTAATTTGTGTATCCCTTACTAAATAGAATATCTTATATTTTGTATGATGTAATCGAAACGAATTATGTATTTAGATGTCCGTGAATTGGAATTTGCGTTGCATCAAAACTTCAAACGCAGCCTCGTTCATAGGATGATGCTCAACGAAATAGGTACCGAAATACGAGTATCGTTCTAAGCGTAGTCGGTAATCGGGCTCCTGACCTATACATTGTAGGTTTTTCATCCATTATTTATCTTTGGGGAACAGAAATAAAGAAACTTGTAAATACCAATGCACATTCGACCTATTAAAGCAAACCTTATCACTATTGGAATTAAAATAGTAAGTAAATAATAAAAAAAACACATTATAAGCACGCTTGCAATTTAGATACCAGAACTCAGTGGCTACTAGAGTTTGTATCGTCCACCTCTTATGCTTTCAGTTGACCGGTCCGAACTCGATAAATTTCACAGTTACATGTCGATGTCCTTTCAAGATATAACAGTTCACCCAAAATCAGCAATCGAACAGATAACAAGATCACTTGTTTTCAAGAAAAATGGATTTAGCATTTCGTATGAGATGAGCAGCAAGGTCAGAGCACATGCCAAGGCCTCTTTAGACAACAAGACGAAATCCGAGATCTTGACAACACTGGAACGCATCCACAAAGATAGCTCTCCGCTTATTACCGAACAAGTCCTCGAGCTGACAGAACTGTACCTAAATTCACCCATCATGAATGGCATCCCAGGGGCTCACGGTTTCCTTGTTCCCTACAATGGTAATACGTATACTTTTGTATTGTCCTGTGAATGGGACGGGCAAAATCGATGTAGCTTTAAACTTTCACGCGGTATCGACACATTCAACAGCGTCACTTAGAAGTTCAATATATGACTCAAGATCACAGTAAAATACTTCCGACGGTAGAATACAGATCATCTAAATTGAACTACAATGTACCTCGCATATCACAATTTTATGTAACCACAATGTGACTTTCTGTTAATTTTTCCTGCTATGATATGTTACCAGAGTGTAACATCCTGATAATATTACCTGCTATGAGATGTTACCAGAGTGTAACATCCTGATATTATTACCTGCAGTGATATTGACGATTTTAATCGTTAATCATGAGGAAATAATTAAAATAGCATGTCAAGAAATTACGCTTAAGTACTAGGTGAAGGGTGTCATGTCGGGTCCTTAAAGTTACTCTTACATTATAACATGATATTTGTTAATGTGTATGTGTCAAAAAATATATAATAACCAGAATAAACATTTACAGTACAACACCTGTTTACATATTTAATAAGTACTTTGATTTTATTTAATATTTGTTTCTCAAAAATTTGTTAGGTATCTGACATCTGCTTTAATTCTGCTAACAATAATATTCCATGAGAAAATCCATACTACAAAGTATCATTATTAGGGTGACACTATTTCCCTCCTAGTTTTTGTTGTGATATTCGTGACATTTGTACAATTACTGTAGTTACTCTTCATCATATTACTATATATATATGAGTCAGCGTGAAAAGGAGACCCAGCGTAAAAGCTTTTGTAAAATTCGACTGTAATAAACATTGAAATATAAATGCAGGCGTTTGTTGTTACATATAGAATGCTACTAGTTTATAACTGGTTACCAGCTGTTTCATCGAGTAGAAATAAATTGTATGTGAAATGCGTGGGATACAACAGTATACAAATGACACAATGATTATAACTAAATTTCTCGTTTTAATCTCAATCGCAGTTAATAGAACATTTCTTCTTCAAAACTAACCTATATGTCCTGTTCTGGATATCTTAGTGTGTATATATAAACGCTCTATATGTCCTGTTCTGGATATCTTAGTGTGTATATATGTATGCTCTATATGTCCTGTTCTGGATATCTTAGTGTGTATATATATATGCTCTATATATCCTGTTCTGGATATCTTAGTGTGTATATATATATGCTCTATATATCCTGTTCTGGATATCTTAGTGTGTATATATATATGCTCTATATATCCTGTTCTGGATATCTTAGTGTGTATATATATATGCTCTATATATCCTGTTCTGGATATCTTAGTGTGTATATATATATGCTCTATATATCCTGTTCTGGATATCTTAGTGTGTATATATATATGCTCTATATATCCTGTTCTGGATATCTTAGTGTGTATATATATATGCTCTATATATCCTGTTCTGGATATCTTAGTGTGTATATATATATGCTCTATATATCCTGTTCTGGATATCTTAGTGTGTATATATATATGCTCTATATATCCTGTTCTGGATATCTTAGTGTGTATATATATATGCTCTATATATCCTGTTCTGGATATCTTAGTGTGTATATATATATGCTCTATATATCCTGTTCTGGATATCTTAGTGTGTATATATATATGCTCTATATATCCTGTTCTGGATATCTTAGTGTGTATATATATATGCTCTATATATCCTGTTCTGGATATCTTAGTGTGTATATATATATGCTCTATATATCCTGTTCTGGATATCTTAGTGTGTATATATATATGCTCTATATATCCTGTTCTGGATATCTTAGTGTGTATATATATATGCTCTATATATCCTGTTCTGGATATCTTAGTGTGTATATATATATGCTCTATATATCCTGTTCTGGATATCTTAGTGTGTATATATATATGCTCTATATATCCTGTTCTGGATATCTTAGTGTGTATATATATATGCTCTATATATCCTGTTCTGGATATCTTAGTGTGTATATATATATGCTCTATATATCCTGTTCTGGATATCTTAGTGTGTATATATATATGCTCTATATATCCTGTTCTGGATATCTTAGTGTGTATATATATATGCTCTATATATCCTGTTCTGGATATCTTAGTGTGTATATATATATGCTCTATATATCCTGTTCTGGATATCTTAGTGTGTATATATATATGCTCTATATATCCTGTTCTGGATATCTTAGTGTGTATATATATATGCTCTATATATCCTGTTCTGGATATCTTAGTGTGTATATATATATGCTCTATATATCCTGTTCTGGATATCTTAGTGTGTATATATATATGCTCTATATATCCTGTTCTGGATATCTTAGTGTGTATATATATATGCTCTATATATCCTGTTCTGGATATCTTAGTGTGTATATATATATGCTCTATATATCCTGTTCTGGATATCTTAGTGTGTATATATATATGCTCTATATATCCTGTTCTGGATATCTTAGTGTGTATATATATATGCTCTATATATCCTGTTCTGGATATCTTAGTGTGTATATATATATGCTCTATATATCCTGTTCTGGATATCTTAGTGTGTATATATATATGCTCTATATATCCTGTTCTGGATATCTTAGTGTGTATATATATATGCTCTATATATCCTGTTCTGGATATCTTAGTGTGTATATATATATGCTCTATATATCCTGTTCTGGATATCTTAGTGTGTATATATATATGCTCTATATATCCTGTTCTGGATATCTTAGTGTGTATATATATATGCTCTATATATCCTGTTCTGGATATCTTAGTGTGTATATATATATGCTCTATATATCCTGTTCTGGATATCTTAGTGTGTATATATATATGCTCTATATATCCTGTTCTGGATATCTTAGTGTGTATATATATATGCTCTATATATCCTGTTCTGGATATCTTAGTGTGTATATATATATGCTCTATATATCCTGTTCTGGATATCTTAGTGTGTATATATATATGCTCTATATATCCTGTTCTGGATATCTTAGTGTGTATATATATATGCTCTATATATCCTGTTCTGGATATCTTAGTGTGTATATATATATGCTCTATATATCCTGTTCTGGATATCTTAGTGTGTATATATATATGCTCTATATATCCTGTTCTGGATATCTTAGTGTGTATATATATATGCTCTATATATCCTGTTCTGGATATCTTAGTGTGTATATATATATGCTCTATATATCCTGTTCTGGATATCTTAGTGTGTATATATATATGCTCTATATATCCTGTTCTGGATATCTTAGTGTGTATATATATATGCTCTATATATCCTGTTCTGGATATCTCAGTGTGTATATATATATGCTCTATATATCCTGTTCCTGATATCTTAGTGTGTATATATATGCTCTATATATCCTGTTCTGGATATTTTAGTGTGTATATATATATGCTCTATGTCAGGATTTTCTGCAGACACACATTCTGTTTCAAATGAACTATTTAGCCAGGGTTTTCCAAAGGACAGTTTTCAATCAATGTTGAAAATCCATCTAGTGGATTTCTGTGTCATCGATGACTGAATACGTGTTGTTCAACGTGTATTTGATCTGATAGAAATCACAGGGACCTGAGAATTTGTTATAGCTATATTTGGACCTAAACTAATGTTTACAATAATTTTACACGCTTGAGGGGTTTAGATCAATTATCAGTAAAATGTCACCCCGATGACCTTAGCTCAGGTCCACATATAGCTGTAACGCATTCTCAGGTCCCTGTGATAGAAAGTACCATAATGGATACCACAAACGGTTCAGAAAAAAAATTACACTTCTGGAGCAACTTGTGTCCCTATCTCATCTAATTGGGGATTTGTGTTTTTCTTTTCGTGTTTCTGTTACTACCGTAACACTTTGGTATACACGGTATAATTCATTTGTTTCTAATTTATTCTGTACATGGCTCCTTCATCTTAGTCATGTAGAAATTGTGGTGTGTTTGCGAGTGTAAGTTATACAAGCTCGGAAATAAATTAACAATGCAACATTCAATAGCAAATAGCAAATTTATATGATTAAGTAAAATTCACTTTCCTGCATACATCTAACTTAAGAATACAGAAAAGGGCTTCACCAATCAAGATACAGCTACTGATTACATTATTTTAGTTTATTAATATTAAATAAAAAAAAAATCAATCTATTATAAAACAATATCCTTTTTCGTCTGGTAATAACTCTTTTGAATCTCATAAAGTTCTAAATCTTGTAATTAAATAAATGTAGAAAGTTAAATCTGTTATAAATTAAATCTGTATAAATTAAATCTGTTATAAAGTGAAGAACGCTTATTATCTAATAAATCGTATCATATGTCTTTTACGTATGGAGACTAAGTAGTGAGTCAAGGGTAAGATTTTAATCAGATTGGGAATATTTAATATAACTTGATTTAAGCAATACACATGGTATAATAGAAGAATATCAAAGGGAATCATATATGTCCATAATTCCATTATAAATGTATTCACTTTGAAAATAAAGAGATAGCATACCATCACCAAAAAATATGAAATTCATGTATACATTAAATAAAAATACTTCATATAAATAACTCATACTTAAAAGCATTCTGTACATGATATAACAATAATGTCACTTAAGAGACAGTGTCACAAAGACTTGCATATCATATACAACAAGAGGTGGTATCTCATTCATACTAAAGCGATCACTTCCAACTCACAGACATTAAATTACCATAAATGTTACAGTATAATTACATAAAACTAAGTATATGTCTCCATTGAATCACACTTACTATGTTTTCCCATAATCGTTTTATCTAAGAAACCTAAAAATATACTATATCATTTTTACTCGTGGAGTAATGGTAAAAAATCATGCCAACTTTTACACAAACAGCATTTGGATAAACATCTGGGTTTTGTTTCTATCCTCTTACTCTTTCTATAAACTAAATGGAAAATGTTTAGTAGTTGAAAATATGGATATATATCAAATTTGATATAAATTACAGTTTAGCGTATTCTTCATGGGTCGACTTTGTAGGTATAGTAAAATGAGGTAAAAATACTAATATTGAACGAGTACTGTAAAACAAATTTTGTTTCTTTTGTACATTTTGAAATCCCATTGAAATCATGTATAGAAACCACGAAATTGACCCCAACAATTGGTATTCACTATGACAGTACTTTAAAAGTGGAATAGTGTAAATTTACAAAAATAACAACAGCTAATAACATATTACCCGATTTTGGCACAGAAGGTCACAACCAGTACAAGCACATTATTAAAAGTATCACAACAGGCTCACTTCATTTAAGAAACATCCCAAACAAATGCTAACAACGCATGCTTAATTTTCTCCTGTTGTTATGTATCCAGGGCTTGCAGCTCGCTCCGATAACACTACATCAGTGAAAAGCTTTCAATGTGACACTCAACATTTAAAAGCTGTCAATGTGACACTCAACATTTAAAAGCTTTCGATTTCGACATATGTAGTAGCATAAACGTGTAGGCAAAGAAAAGGTGTTCAAATGAATCCTTGTTACTGGTCATAATGACTGCAGAAAAGCGTTATCGCTTTGTTGTTTGATCTTTTGATCGGACAAAAAGAATTTGCAAACTTGTAACGTTGCATTTCGAGGAGAAGACCAAGTATGACTGTCTCAGAAACAACTTCACATTAGTATCATTTCAACTGAAGATAATTCTTCAAAGTTCTTGGTATCATCAATTTGTCAAGGTCAGTCATGTGACCTTTGCTTACGTGGCTTCTTATTGTGTAGCGACAACACCTCAGTAAGGATCTGGGAGTGTTGAGTTCCTTCTCCATTAGCTTGTTAAAGTGTGAGTAGGATTCTCGTAAGTCTGTGATTTTTTCACCAAGAAGAAGGTCCATATCACGATAACAATCCATTGACAGTAGCATCAGTATAGTCTCCATTTTACCAAATCGAATTGACTTAGACAAAAGAGTGCCTCCTGAAAAAGAAAGAAGGGAAAAATCTTTTAAAGTGATATTTCCACATTTTTCTTCAAGTTAAACAAAATCTTTGTTCCTGATACGTTTAGAGTAATTCTGCTGAATAAAAATGTCCAAACGCCATGGATAATTAGTGTTAATGAAGAAAGTATCTTGCTCAAACCTTGCAAAGATGCATAAAAATAGAACCACATTGCGAAAACGAGGATACTAGACACGATTTTTTCTCAATTTTAATAGCGGCTGGTGTGACGTTGCCTGGTCAGCGCAAATCAATCTATAATTGTGTGACCTTTCAAGGCTGTACCTCACTTTCTCTATTTACATATTACGACATGTTTATATTGGTGGATTGGAACCCTATTGCTGAAAAGATATTTCAGCAAAATGTGAAATATGTCATGCAGAAATGTCCCTTTTACGTCTTACTTTTAACGTCTTCGATGACAAGGGATATCAGGCAGGGACTCTTAACATATATATGTGCTATAAACAAGTTTATTTTTGCTTTGCCTTTAGTTGTTTTTGTTTTTTTTGACATTATGTTTTACTTTATATACTTTTGATCAGGTTATGGTTGAACATATATTATTTTTACTCTTTCAAGGGCAAATTATGATTTAAGGAAAGATTCACATAAAGACCCAGAAAAAGTACAAGGATCACATGTTTCAGAAGACTAGCCGTCTTCTGCTTTACCAACGACACCATCATGTAAATCTTGGTTAAATCCAAGAAATGTCACGTCCCCATAACAAGAACGGAGGTAGTGACAACAAATTACCGAACCAGATTTCAGATCCACAAAAAGATTTTAAAGATCATAATTCATTGTTAATGGGAGGATAACTAATATTCCTGCTTAACCTTCATATTTTCAGAGTCTAACAATACCCATGATTTATACACAACCCAGAATAGTTGCACCCCATAATGCTGTATTCTCCATATCTAACTGAGGTTGAAGAAGATATTAAGAATTTATTAGCACATTTATTATCAGACATTAATTAGGACAATCTGATTAAAATCATCTGTGCCATGTCTCCGCCTGAACAGGCGTATTACGAAGTTAACGAAACCATGTAACACATGATTTTAATCAGATTGTTAATTAGGACTGTATGAACTTAAATAACATTAGTTTGATATGGAGGAGGAGTAGTACATGAACTTACAGATAAAGGGGTGGCAGCAACTTGTTGGTTACGCGCACCTGTTCATATTATAGGGGAAATTTCTTTGAAAGCGTTCTTATATTTGAAGAAGCAATACATTGAACAAGACTAAGTTAGTAAGTCATGGACCATAACTTAATTGATGTTAACAAAAACAACATGAAGGTCACAAATAAACAGATCTAATTAATGTATATGGTGTATGTAAAGTTCCAGTTAAAATAAGTGTTATTATACTGGCAATGTAAACAATTGTTTCTTCTGGAAGACACACACCATTCCCCAAACAGAGTCTATCAATACCTCTGGAAGTTTCCAACGTAATTGTAACTACACAAATTAAACTTCAAGACAGACAGTTGCTGAGAGAGAGGGAGAAAGCAGAGACAAGACAATAAAGACAGAGAGAAGAGACAGTGAAAGTGTTTCAGACATAGAGACAAAGAAAGAGAGACGAAGAGACAGAGAAAGTGTATCAGACATAGAGATAAAGAAAGAGAGACAGAGAAAGTGTATCAGACATAGAGACAAAGGAGGAGAGACAGAGAAAGTCTATCAGACATAGAGACAAAGAAAGAGAGATAGAGAGACAGAGAAAGTGTATCAGACTTAGAGACAAAGTAGGAGAGACAGAGAAAGTGTATCAGACAAAGAGACAAAGTAGGAGAGACAGAGAAAGTGTATCAGACATAGAGGCAAAGTAGGAGAGACAGATAAAGTGTATCAGACATAGAGACTAAGACGGAGGGACAGAGAAAGTGTATCAGACATAGAGGCAAAGTAGGAGAGACAGATAAAGTGTATCAGACATAGAGACAAAGTAGGAGAGACAGAGAAAGTGTATCAGACTTAGAGACAAAGTAGGAGAGACAGAGAAAGTGTATCAGACTTAGAGACAAAGTAGGAGAGACAGATAAAGTGTATCAGACATAGAGACAAAGTAGGAGAGACAGAGAAAGTGTATCAGACTTAGAGACAAAGTAGGAGAGACAGATAAAGTGTATCAGACATAGAGACTAAGAAAGAGAGACAGAGAGACAGAGAAAGTGTATCAGACATATAGACAAAGAAAGAGAGACAGAGGGACAGGGAAGGTGTATCAGATATAGAGACAACGAAAGAGAGACTGAGAGACAGAGAAAGTGTATCAGACTTAGAGACAAAGTAGGAGAGACAGAGAAAGTGTATCAGACTTAGAGACAAAGTAGGAGAGACAGAGAAAGTGTATCAGACATATAGACAAAGAAAGAGAGACAGAGGGATAGGGAAGGTGTATCAGATATAGAGACAACGAAAGAGAGACTGAGAGACAGAGAAAGTGTATCAGACATAAAGACAAAGTAGGAGAGACAGAGAAAGTGTATCAGACAAAGAGACAAAGTAGGAGAGACAGAGAAAGTGTATCAGACTTAGAGACAAAGTAGGAGAGACAGAGAAAGTGTATCAGACTTAGAGACAAAGTAGGAGAGACAGATAAAGTGTATCAGACATAGAGACAAAGTAGGAGAGACAGGGAAAGTGTATCAGACATAGAGACAAAGTAGGAGAGACAGGGAAAGTGTATCAGACATAGAGACAAAGGAGGAGAGACAGAGAAAGTCTATCAGACATAGAGACAAACATTGTATTTTTAGAACAAAGTTTAACACAATTACTCCTCAGATAGTATAGATAGGATTGTACAGGTAAGTTCGTTGTAGAAAGGAGAAATCACAAATACTGAATTATTAGTATTCATTTTAACAATGTAACTGTAATATTGATATGAAGGATATGTATATACCGTCTTTGTCTACGGTGTTGATATCAGCACCTCTCTGAACCAACAACCTGGCAATAGTAGGGACGGCTCTGGAGCTTAGCTCAATCACAGAGTGAAATGTGCTTCTTCTCCTGTTGTCCACCTGGGATAATACACAAATAACATGCAACTAGAACAAATGTACTGAGCAAGATTTTAGAAATAAAACAAATTGCTTGTACTCAATTTCAAGATGTTCCACTACTGTCGTGATGTGTTAAATTCATTAACGAACAGTTATCAACAACAACCATTTTAATTGTATTTAGTGTTTATAATTGGTGTTTGAATTCAGATAACTTCCCTGATATGCACTTTCATTAATCAATGTTTATTTCTCCTACACCCTGCTTGGAGTTGGTAAACATTTAGATTACCCACTACATGTATTGCGTAACAGCCTGGATGTCATGTCATTGGTCAATCTTCTAATGATGACATCAAGTAAGAATATTTTGCGACGTTCTCTTCTACTGTGACTCCATAGTTCAATCACAATTGTTTCACCTCAAACTCGTAATGGTTGGTTATCATGTTTATCTACCTTTTGTTAACTGATTGTAAAAGATACTTGGTAAACCTCATATCTTTATACAATTTGAAAATTTACTAACTTGAGTTAGTTAATATGATAACCAACCATCACTCGTTAGGGAACCTCTATATCTTTTGTGTCGCTCTACATGTTGGAAAACAAGAGAAAAAACATAATTTCCATGGTTTACATGGTTTGCCATGGTTTTGCATACAACTGCTATTTTCAAAAAATTTCTCATTTTGTTTGAAAATTTGACTTAGCACAGCACAACATAGATGAACATATTTTGAATGTTATCACTGCAATAACTTGTCAAAAAACATTTCACGTAAGCGATCAGAATTCTTAGATTTTTAATAACAAAGGTCACATGAGTTTCTGACTCTGAAATACCGAAACCAATCAAAACCATTTAATCACCTAGTATTTCCTAGTGGCATAATCTATACATAAGTATAACTTTTTTACTTTATCAACTTCTGCTCCTCCATCCAACAGCATCTCCATGAGAGCGATATCTCTAGTAGCTACTGACATCATCAGAGGTGTGGCACCCTTCTTGTTGGCAATGTTGACATTAGCACCACCTACAACATGTTATTTCTTCAGGCTTCGAGAATGTACACAATCAAACAGCCATTATTATTACATAGTGAATTATATAGAGCCCAGCCTCATTATCCAGCTATTTATCTGGTTGTCCCTTTGTCCAGCCTCATTAATCCAGCCACCACTAAATGTGGTTGTCCAGCTATCCAGCCTGTTTAAAAGGGGAGAGACAAGACTCTTACTTTATCTCATTGCTCACTTCAACATTTAGCCCCCAGTGTTTTCAATTAAAAACGCATAACTGCTGGGCAATATGCAAGAAATCATGGTATATCAATTAACATAAAAAACATTTTTTTCAGGAAGGTTTAAGGAGTAAAATTGAAACATAGCTGTTTACAATCTAAACATGCAAGTTATAACACATTTCACTGATTTATCCTTCAGTAAAAGCTGCTCCACAAACTTTGAATCCACCATAGAAGTCACCACACAGCAGGAAATGTATCACAAATGTTGACTCGATCATCTTTCTGTTACAGCTGCAAAAAATGATTCATCCCTCAAGTCTTAGCACTATACAAACACTGACTCACCATTCAATAAGAGCTTTATCACAAATATTGACTCACTCTTTAGTTGATACCCGCATCACAAACATTGACTCGTCTTTCAGTAAGACCTGCATCACAAACATTGAATCATTCTTATGGAAGACCTGAATCACAAATATTGACTCACCCTTCAGTAAGACCTGAATCACAAACATTGACTCACCCTACAGTAAGACCTGAATCACAAACATCGACTCATTCTTATGGAAGACCTGAATAACAAACATTGACTAACCCTACAGTAAGACCTGCATCATAACATTGCCTCATTCTTATGTAAGACCTGTATCAAAAATATTGACTCATTCTTATGTAAGTCCTGTATCACAAATATTGACTAACCCAACAGTAAGACCTGCATCATAACATTGACTCATTCTTATGTAAGACCTGAATAACAAATATTGACTCACCCTACAGTAAGACCTGTATCACAAATATTGATTCACCCTACAGTAAGACCTGAATCACAATCATCGACTCATTCTTATGGAAGACCTGAATCACAAATATTGTCTCACCCTTCAGTAAGACCTGAATCACAAACATTGACTCGCCTTTCAGTAAGACCTGAATTACATACATCAACTAATTCTTATGTAAGATCTGAATCACAAATATTGACTCATCCTTTAGTAAGACCTGAATCACAAACATTGACTCACCCTTCAGTAAGACCTGAATCATAACATTGACTCACCCTTCAGTAAGACCTGAATCACAAATATTGACTCACTCTTCAGTAAGACCTGAATCACAAACATTGACTCACCCTTCAGTAAGACCTGCATCATAACATTGACTCATTCTTATGTAAGACCTGTATCAAAAATATTGACTCATTCTTATGTAAGACCTGTATCACAAATATTGACTCACCCTACAGTAAGACCTGAATCACAAACATTGACTCGCCTTTCAGTAAGACCTGAATCACAAACATCGACTAATTCTTATGTAAGATCTGAATCACAAATATTGACTCATCCTTCAGAAAGACCTGAATCACAAACATTGACTCACCTTTCAGTAAGACATGAATCATAACATTGACTCACCCTTCAGTAAGACCTGAATCACAAATATTGACTCACCCTTCAGTAAGACCTGAATCACAAACATTGACTCACCCTTCAGTAAGACCTGCATCATAACATTGACTCATTCTTATGTAAGACCTGTATCAAAAATATTGACTCATTCTTATGTAAGACCTGTATCACAAATATTGACTCACCCTACAGTAAGACCTGAATCACAAACATTGACTCGCCTTTCAGTAAGACCTGAATCACAAACATCGACTAATTCTTATGTAAGATCTGAATCACAAATATTGACTCATCCTTCAGAAAGACCTGAATCACAAACATTGACTCACCTTTCAGTAAGACATGAATCATAACATTGACTCACCCTTCAGTAAGATCTGAATCACAAATATTGACTCATCCTTCAGTAAGACCTGAATCACAAACATTGACTCACCCTTCAGTAAGACATGAATCATAACATTGACTCACCCTTCAGTAAGACCTGAATCACAAATATTGACTCACCCTTCAGTAAGACCTGAATCACAAACATTGACTCACCCTTCAGTAAGACATGAATCATAACATTGACTCACCCTTCAGTAAGACCTGAATCACAAATATTGACTCACCCTTCAGTAAGACCTGAATCACAAACATTGACTCACCCTTCAGTAAGACATGAATCATAACATTGACTCACCCTTCAGTAAGACCTGAATCACAAATATTGACTCACCCTTCAGTAAGACCTGAATCACAAACATTGACTCACCCTTCAGTAAGACCTGAATCATAACATTGACTCACCCTTCAGTAAGACCTGAATCACAAATATTGACTCACCCTTCAGTAAGACCTGAATCACAAACATTGACTCACCCTTCAGTAAGACCTGAATCACAAATATTGACTCACCCTTCAGTAAGACCTGAATCACAAACATTGACTCACCCTTCAGTAAGACCTGAATCACAAATATTGACTCACCCTTCAGTAAGACCTGAATCACAAATATTGACTCACCCTTCAGTAAGACCTGAATCACAAACATTGACTCACCCTTCAGTAAGACCTGAATCACAAATATTGACTCACCCTTCAGTAAGACCTGAATCACAAATATTGACTCACCCTTCAGTAAGACCTGAATCACAAATATTGACTCACCCTTCAGTAAGACCTGAATCACAAACATTGACTCACCCTACAGTAAGACCTGAATCACAAACATTGACTCACCCTTCAGTAAGACCTGCATCACAAACATTGACTCACCCTTCAGTAAGACCTGCATCACAAACCTTTCTCAGTAAGAGCTGTACATCAAACACTGATTACCCTTCATTATGAGATTTTCAGAAATATTGACTACAGCTGTACTAAAACTATCAACTCACCTGTCATTAAGAAATATACAACAAACATTGACTCACCCTTTAGTAAAAGTTGGACTACATAATGTTTGACTGGCATGGTGAAGCTGGCCAGATGGAGTGCTGATGTTCCCTTCTCATCCGTAATGTCAACATCAGCACCAGCCTTGATCAACAGGTTGATAGACATGGGGTCGCCCTTTATCACTGCATACATAAGTGGAGTTTTCATACTGGCTGACTGTACATTGCAACTTGAACCTGCATTGACAAGAAATGATTCATACATTAATTATAGTATTCTTATTATCAATAGGTTGGTATGTTCGACTTGCAGTGTTTTCAATATCAAGAAATCATGGCTCAAATAAGCAAGTAGAAGCCATTTGTAATTAGTAAAATGTGAAGTTGCAGAGTGATACATGACATGCGAAAATCTTATATCAACCTGACACTTCACAATTTGACTTGTGACTCTAACAGCTGAAATTAAAGCATAGGACACTTCATCAGTTAAACGGGTCAATCAATTGTTATAACATTCTTCACTAAAATTTGTACTTCAAGCATAGACACACATAAGGATTGCATGACCTTTGTTTTGACAGTGTATACAGTAGCATGAACTCCGTAGGCAATGAACATATTCTGTATGGAGTGTGTTTATACTACCATAAATGGACGTCAAACATTATATTTATATTCCAAAAAATGTTTAAATGGTGTATGAAGGAAAAACAGTCAGAGCTTGTTGAATGGTAACAACAGTATCCGTGGTTGCTAGGATAATATAGTTCCAGTGAATCTACATCGATATAGAGGTAAATTTAGAAATACACAGTTAACAACACTATTGATCTTCCTTGCTTTGCTTTTAAATTTTTAATTTAGTAATTTAAGTAGCCCTTCGAACATTTTCATTCATTTATAATGGTTGTTATGTATGTCCATTAGCACACTGCTCTGCTGGTAGTGACACGCTCGAATCTTACTTTACCATCAACGAGATTTGAATGAGCATCCAAGGAATAAGAAATTTGTCGGCACGCTTTTGTTCTATAATTAGACATGATGGATCCCGAATATGTTCCATGTTTCCAGATGTTGAAGGAACCAACCAATAGCTGTCATCAGACTGTTATCTGGCTGAACCATGAACAGCGCCATCTTTGAAACAAGTATCAATCTGCCGAGCCTTTTCCACGGAGTGTACGCTAATTTATACACAGTTAGCGTTAACTAGGCTGAAGAAAGGAGAGATGTCAATATACTTAAATAAGAGATGTAACAGTAAAACTGAAGCACATCTCAGAATCAGATGTAATAGACACCGTCTCACCCTTCAGTAAAACCTGTACAACAAACATTCTTAGGTAGTAAGTTTATATCTCATACACTGACTCAACCTTTAGTAAGATACCTAACAAATTCCAACTTCTAAAACCAGAAAAAGTATGCTACAACTGTTATGTATCCAAACTTTATATGAAAAAATTACCAAATACTGTTCATCTTAAAAAACTGGCCGAACCAGCCTTTTACCAAACTTTTTTAAACATAAACATAGTATGTTTATTTGTTTTCTGAAATGTTCTATTTGAGTCATATAAGTATCCAGGATGTTGAGCTTTATCACAATTCAGATGTTCATGTCAGAAGAAAATTGACTGGCCTAGTTCCTTTCAAAAATGAACTAGCATATGGAAAAAACACTGACCTCGGCCAAAGGGCCAGTGGCTAAATTGAACCCTATTAAATATTAGTTATCAAATACTGTTTGTGTACAAAACAAACTCCTTTCCTGTTGCCTTTTTTGCTGATCTGATCCTTTGATTTCTTCAGTTTTAAAAGAACAGTTTTATATAATATGTATTTGAGGAAGATTGTGAGCAGCCAAAATGAGATAAATATAAACTTCTTTATTCCACAGCAATTATAAAACAAGCTTTTCTATTTTTAATCAGTCACTTTTGTTGGCCAGGGTGAAAAAAATGCAGAGGTTTTTCATGTTTGAGGAAACTGGAATACCCAGATAAAATCCATGTGGTCAGTCAAACGACCACATATCACTTCACCTCAGATCCGAAGACTGAACCCCAGCCATCTTGGTGACAGGCGAGTGCACTATTCAGTGCCACTAGACCAACCAAAGGACACTTTAGTTCATCACAACAAATTTGAGGTTGTTTACTGTAGTTATCTATATTTCACCTTTCTGTAAGAGGAACTGGAGAACATCGGCCCTGCCAGCATTCGCTACATAGTGTAAAGGCACTCGGCTGTTCCCATCACAGCTATTTACGTCAGCTCCATGATCTACCAGGAAGGATATAGTCTGTAACATAAGATATTTGTATTCCTTAATTGATTTAAACTACAGAAAAAAAACACTTTTTTAGTTAAAATAGACAAACAACATTTTCACTATAAGTTTTTGCAAGATAAATAAAAGAAATATATTTGAACCCTTGATGGAGGTCTGAGACAATTGTCCATTGATTTGATGCTGTGCTCTTTAAAAATGGGAAACTGGCAAAGTATTTCATTTCAATCCATAGTCTCCCACAGGTAATGATTTCTTTATTTACCGAGGTCAAAGGTCGAATCATAGGTCACAGTGACCTACTTTTAGTTCTCAACACTCTGCTATCCTCAGATGTACGTGCATACCAATCTGATTACTCTTGGAGAAATAGTATAGAAGATATGCCAGAGAAAAACTTTACAAAGGTTGAGGTCCAGTGTCAAATCATTGGTCACAGTAACCTACTTACTGTACTCCGCACTCTACCATCACAAGATGTACTCCAGGTAAAAATAGTTTGTTAGATATGCAGCGGACAACTCTTCGGACAGACAAACAGAGCACAAACCTATAGTCCCTCCGGGGAGGCCGGGGGACTTACAAATGGTTACAAAAAAATTACATGCAGGAAACCAAGGCATTGTGACTGAAATATTTCCTACATTATCATTGTTAATCAGCACAGTTATAATAATTTGATAGTTTCCTATCAATTTTATTAATAGATAACATCCACTGTGCTTTAACTAAAATTTATCTGAAACTGTATTCATTAAGAAATTTTAAAGTATGACAAAAACTTTGAAGTAATTATATAACAATACATGATGACATCAAACAGCACCTTGGTGAACATTTCATTTCGGAGTATCCAGTTCCATTATTTCTAATGCTAATGGCTAATGAGCCGCACGTTCAAATGAGGGTTGGAAGCCTGTTCCATATTTCTAATGCTATTTTGTTTAACCATTAGTTTCTGTATGTGACAGTGCAGGCTTCAGAACTGTCAGTAAGGTGCCAGACAGAGACTTAGAGGTCTTGTTTGAACAAATTGCAGCACAAGTTACTCAAGGTACACTGGAGAATTTCCACGAAGAGCCCTAAATCCATACACAAGAAGTGTAAACCAATGATTTTATTCCACCACATGATAATCATTGTTTATAGTTGGCCACATGCTATATATATATTGGTTTGAAATAAACTTAATAATTTATCCTCATTTTCATAATTAAGGACTATTTGAACAATTACATTTTCGTAAGGTTATACTTGTATTGTCCATTACATGATAAAAGACTCTTACCTTCAAAGGACTCTGCAGGACTGCAACATGTAGAGGAGTATACTTTGTCATCTTGATGTGACTCGCCAACATACGACACCTCACAGTACAAGCCATCCCTGTCAATTTTAATCAAGCTTTTTAAAGAGTCCTGCTACTTCAGTTTGCTTTTCAAGTATCATTTTGGTTCCACAGGTAATATTTTAAATGTATTTTTATTCTAATATATGCAAACCACTTGCTGAAAGGTAGCATTTAAATTACACAATCTCTAATAATTATAAGTGAAATCTGTTTGTCTAGATAAAGGATTGGTCGAGTGCTTAACACTTCAGCCTTCCACGCAGGCGACTGAAGTTTGATCCCCAAATTTGTTGTACGCATTGATATTAGGAGGGTGTTTTACCTTGATGTTTAGAGTTGATGTTGATCCCAGCTCTCACAAGTCTCCCTATCATGTCCAAATCATTATATCTTACAGCTTTAAAGATATCTTCCTCGTCATTGGGAACTTCCAACAGAAGATCAGATCCATTAATTGGTTCACTCTCCCTCACACGCATGTCATCTATAGTAATAGCTGCGCCATCCAGTGGCAAGGGCACAGGTAATGGAGGAGGAGGAGGAGGAGGAGGGGGCGGTGGTACATGAGGCAGAGAGGGGGGCACATGCTGATGTGGAGGAGGGGAACTGGAGGGAGACACTTGTTGATGTAGAGGAGGGGAACTGGAGGGAGACACATGCTGATGTGGAGGAGGGGAAATGGAGGGAGATACTTGTTGATGTTGAGGAGGGGAACTGGAGGGAGACACATGCTGATGAGGCGGCGGATAATCCAGTGATTCTTGTTCTGATTCCATTGCAGGTTATTGTTCAGATCAAAGCTGAAAATCAATAAATAAAAACAACAAATAACAATAATTACCTATAGCACGATATAGTGTTTACATTACCCTGTTAGGCTGTTACCTACATTGTAAAATTGCTCTTATTTTCACAACTAATATATCTAAATCAACTACGAAAATTACTTATTTCTTTCTTTCTGTTACTTCTGTCGGAGATGTCTTGTGATTTAAGTCACGCCTTTTCAAACTACCCGGTATATGGGCACCTGAACTTTGTGACGAAACCCGTATACATATACCATCCATATAAGGTAAGGTAGGTAATGCTGTGATATATGGTCTAAATATAGTGATGATCACTTCACCTAGAAAAACGACAATGAGTCAGCCTTCCTACTAGTCTCTCCACGGTTACTATCGCGTGTCATTCATTTGAACTTTGCTGGTAAACAAATCTGCTTATTTTACTGGCAGTATATGTTACAAATTACAGAGCAGTAGAGATGGGTCAGGCTGTGCGCACCATATGTAAACATTGAACAAGGGGACGTAACTCTAGTAAAGAGTTTGACAGGTGCGTTCGAAAGCAGCTTCTATTTTTTGGATCAATGGACCCAATAATCGATCACAGTTTGTTTGTTGGACCACCCCATTTAAATAGTCTTTTTGGACGCTTTATAGGTTTATATCAAAACTTAGTAAAAATACCAAAATATGTACTTGATTTCCAATAATGAATGAGAATAGTTACTGGTGGAAACAGGTAGACATAGCCTGATATTCAAGCAAATGAAATAATATGTCTAAAAAATATAAATTATCATGAAAGAAGATGGAGAATATTACATATTATCCTGTTGTCATTACAACTTTGTTTCAATATTAAACATTGATACCGTTAGCTGTTTTAATTAGCCCCACTTATCCATAGTCATTAACCACGAACTCCAATAAAAATACATGTGTGGATTTGTAACTGCTACCGACTTTATTTTCAGTTTTTCACATTGATAAAATATTTATATTACACTACAAAGTAAAATATTAAGAAACTTCGGGGAAGTGGCTTGTGCACCACTTTGGGTAGGAAAAGAAATTATAAAAATTATGTATTTGACCGATTTAGAAGTGTGATGTCCTGTACATGTAACTCTTGTGACAAGTGTACTTTACTGTATAATGACGAAACCCTCATCTCGTGTCATTTTGGCCTGACAATTAAAACAAAATGGCTATTCAGCTTTTTTTATTCTTTGTTTAGTGAGTTTTGTCAATTTTGCCAGAAAGATACTGTCATAAAATGTCAAAGGAAAGTATCCAAATCACTTAGAAACCTGGGATTTGGATATTTTCTTTTTCTGTGATGATTATTACTTGGTTTTTTATTAATATATGTGATTATCTCCCTTTACTTGTAATATAATGTGTTATTGTTATTTTACATATGTTTGTCGCAATAATAGCTCTCAAGAGCTAATGTTCCTTGTTAACCTGTATGCGACGTTAAATAAAGTTTCTTGTATCCTGTATCTTGTATGTCCACTTGGATACAGTATAATAAGATATAAACATCAGAATCAGACCACTATTTAACTCCACGGTAAAACAGTTAGAAGTACTATATTTCAGCTATATCAAAATTTCACTCTCATTACTCTGTGCTATGATTGGAGAGATACATTTTTGGTTTGTTCAGATTTAGGATTTTCTTTTTCCTCCATCCTCACTGCACGAGATGGGGTTTTTGCCATCTTAACCTCCCGTATTTCAAGATAGTTTTAACGTGTAAAATTTTCAAGTTGGTCAAATATAGGATTTTCATTATTTTCTTGATTCCAAAAAAAGTTCCAATCCTTTTCTCGATGTTGGATGACCAGGAATTAAACCGTTGAAAGCGTAGTCGTATCGAATATAGCCGGTATATGATTCCTCATTTCGTACATGTATAACAACTAAGTTTACATACGCTTATATATTGCCAACTCGTACATATTTTATAACATTTGACAACAACAGAACTAAATCCGCGGTAAGGCTTCCGTGATCTCGGGTGTTCCTTATAACAATACACCAGCCCAACTCTTTATTGTTGCTGATGAAAGGTATGCAAAGCCAATAACGTACATTCCATATAATAGCTTTAAGTATTGCAGACTAATACTAGAACAAGATTCAAAACAATGATCCTCTATGGAAATAAAATAAAAACCTAGTAAACAATGGAACCTAAAAATCGAGGCAGCATACACGTGGATGATAGCAATGCATTGATAATGCAAAGAGAAAGGACAACCGACTTAGTACCACTTTATAGTAATGATTACCAACAACAAGCATAGAAGGAGCTACGTCGAAAAACCAGACTCCACAACGTCAAAGAGCGATGTAAGCCATACACAATTACCACGAATTCACCGAATAATGGCAAGCGACTGTTTTACCAATTAGGCACAAAACAAAGAAAATCAACCTACAGAATTACATTATATAAGTCCATGGTCAAACCAAAAGCAATTGATCCTCATGACATCATCAACAGATGATAACTGGATTTATAAAAAGGTTTGCCACATAAAGAAAAACACATTTCGGCTGTAATTCCGCCAGTTGGCGGAATTCGACATCGTAAAACCATATGGGTAAAGCCACTCGTGTGGCTAATATTTTGATATGTTTTACTCGTGCTACGCATTCGTGAAAGATATCAAAATATTAGCCACACTCGTGAAATATATTTGGTATTACTGAAGACACTGTAAGACATCCTCTATCTCTTTACATTAATTATATTTATATCGATTATCTGTGTATTGATGATCTTTGTATATTGGTGATCTGTATATTGATAATCTATATCAATTATCTGTATATTAGTGATCTGTATATTGATGGTCTGTATATTGATGATCTGTATATTGATGATCTGTATATTGATGATCTTTGTATATTGCTGTTCTGTATATTGATAATCTATATTAATGGTCTGTATATTGATGATCTGTATATTGATGGTCTGTGTATTGATGATCTGTATATTGATGTTCTGTATATTGATGATCTGTATATTGATAATCTATATTGATGATCTTTGTATATTGATGGTCTATATTTTGATAATCTATATTAATGGTCTGTATATTGATGGTCTGTATATTGATGATCTGTATATTGATGATCTGTATATTGCTGTTCTGTTTATTGATAATCTATATTAATGGTCTGTATTTTGATGATCTGTATATTGATGATCTGTATATTGATGATCTGTATTTTGGTGATCTGTATATTGATGGTCTATATATTGATGGTCTGTATATTGATGGTCTGTATATTGATGATCTGTATATTGATGATCTGTATATTGATGGTCTGTACATTGTTGATGTGTATATTGATGGTCTGTATATTGATGATCTTTATGTTGGTTATCTGTATATTGATGATCTGTATGTTGGTTATCTGTATATAGGTTATCTGTATATAGGTTATATGTATATAGGTTATCTGTATGTTGGTTATCTGTATATAGGTTATCTGTATATAGGTTATCTGTATATAGGTTATCTGTATATAGGTTATCTGTATATAGGTTATCTGTATATAGGTTATCTGTATATAGGTTATCTGTATATAGGTTATCTGTATATAGGTTATCTGTATATAGGTTATCTGTATATAGGTTATCTGTATATAGGTTATCTGTATATAGGTTATCTGTATATAGGTTATCTGTATATAGGTTATCTGTATATAGGTTATCTGTATATAGGTTATCTGTATATAGGTTATCTGTATATAGGTTATCTGTATATAGGTTATCTGTATATAGGTTATCTGTATATAGGTTATCTGTATATAGGTTATCTGTATATAGGTTATCTGTATATAGGTTATCTGTATATAGGTTATCTGTATATAGGTTATCTGTATATAGGTTATCTGTATATAGGTTATCTGTATATAGGTTATCTGTATATAGGTTATCTGTATATAGGTTATCTGTATATAGGTTATCTGTATATAGGTTATCTGTATATAGGTTATCTGTATATAGGTTATCTGTATATAGGTTATCTGTATATAGGTTATCTGTATATAGGTTATCTGTATATAGGTTATCTGTATATAGGTTATCTGTATATAGGTTATCTGTATATAGGTTATCTGTATATAGGTTATCTGTATATAGGTTATCTGTATATAGGTTATCTGTATATAGGTTATCTGTATATAGGTTATCTGTATATAGGTTATCTGTATATAGGTTATCTGTATATAGGTTATCTGTATATAGGTTATCTGTATATAGGTTATCTGTATATAGGTTATCTGTATATAGGTTATCTGTATATAGGTTATCTGTATATAGGTTATCTGTATATAGGTTATCTGTATATAGGTTATCTGTATATAGGTTATCTGTATATAGGTTATCTGTATATAGGTTATCTGTATATAGGTTATCTGTATATAGGTTATCTGTATATAGGTTATCTGTATATAGGTTATCTGTATATAGGTTATCTGTATATAGGTTATCTGTATATAGGTTATCTGTATATAGGTTATCTGTATATAGGTTATCTGTATATAGGTTATCTGTATATAGGTTATCTGTATATAGGTTATCTGTATATAGGTTATCTGTATATAGGTTATCTGTATATAGGTTATCTGTATATAGGTTATCTGTATATAGGTTATCTGTATATAGGTTATCTGTATATAGGTTATCTGTATATAGGTTATCTGTATATAGGTTATCTGTATATAGGTTATCTGTATATAGGTTATCTGTATATAGGTTATCTGTATATAGGTTATCTGTATATAGGTTATCTGTATATAGGTTATCTGTATGTTGGTTATCTGTATATAGGTTATCTGTATATAGGTTATCTGTATATCTGTATATAGGTTATCTGTATATAGGTTATCTGTATGATGGTTATCTGTATATAGGCTATCTGTATGTAGGTTATCTGTATATAAGTTATCTGTATATAGGTTATCTGTATATTGGTTATCTGTATATTGATGATCTGTATGTTGGTTATCTGTATATAGGTTATCTGTATATAGGTTATCTGTATATAGGTTATCTGTATGATGGTTATCTGTATATAGGTCATCTGTATGTAGATTATCTGTATATAAGTTATCTGTATATAGGTTATCTGTATATAGGTTATCTGTATATTGATGATCTGTATGTTGGTTATCTGTATATAGGTTATCTGTATATAGGTTATCTGTATATTGATGATCTGTATGTTGGTTATCTGTATATTAATTATCTTTATTGTTGACTTGTATATCGATGGTCTGCATTTTAGTTATCTATATTTATATTGATGATCTGTATATATTGAATATAGATGACTTGTATATTGATTATCTTTGTGTAATGGTGATATGTATATTTACAGTTTTAGTTCCCATTGAGCAACAATCGTTTCGAACAATAATGTAAAAACCAACCATTCATATATTACAGACACTTGTTAGGGACATCACCTTCGGCGACGTCGCTAAGTTTTTATGTGTTTTTATGTGTATGAAACCAACAAAACGTCAAAATGTTCAATAAATGTTATTGGAAATGAACAGATTTAACAACATATATAACGATTTTCTATTCATGAGCCTGTCGAACTATAACAATGATATATATTTTTTAAAGTTTCAACAAAGGTCATTTTTCTTAATACACCAATACCAAACTGAATCATGATCCTGACAAAAAAAATCCACAACAACCGGAGGTTATGCTTTAACCTATAAGCAATGACAATAGCTGATAATAATGTCCTATAGTTAGGACAAGTAATTGTTATTGTAACTAATGTAACCTGTCCACACCTTACTCGCGCTGTAAGAGCCCTCAGGTGATGCATTACATATATAGGCATGTCCCGGAACTACACCAGAAAGGACTATGATATATATATATACACATGTACGTAGCCACCATATTGTTTGTCTTCACGAATACGACAGTCGAGTCTCGGAATATATAAGGTAGGAGGTTAAAACGTAAGTACAACTTCTAGCCAGTCAAAAACATATTCAATGGAGTATTGTTCATACTTTCTCGTTGATTATTGCGTAACATTTGGAGAAAGTTAATTATAGTAATATTTTACATCTCATATATTAGTTTGTCTAATATAATGTTGAGGATGTCCAAAATGGCGCTCCTACGAAAGCAGACGAAATGTGCCACAAGCAAATACTAAATGATGGTTGACATTTAGATTTTTACTTATAGGCGTGATGGACATGCCAATAGATACCTGAATTAAGCACTGATAAATTATTCGGTATGTAGTTGTAACAAATAGTTATACAGTTCAAGAATATTGTAAAGGTAAATAACTTATTCAAATGACCGTATATACATAGGGAATCAATCATACTACACATGTATATACCACAATTTTAGGCACAAGAGCTAAATTGTAGAATCATGTCATTCTATTCTTTTTAATAATTTTACTTGGCATGGAAATTATAACATAACAAGTCAACATTATAATACAGTACACCAACACATTTGTATACATCATGTTATATACATAATTATATCATATATTACACTGAACTTTTATTTCAATATATGGTATCAACAAAATATTTGTATACAAAGTTACATTATGATACATCACACCAGTATTACATTGGTATACATAAAATATATCATTATATATTACACCCCACCTAGCAACGTTTATTACAATATACCAGCATTACATCTGTATACGTTTAAAACACCATTATATAATACACCGAGTACCGAATACGCTATTATATTAGTATATCATAATGCGTCACACCAACATTACATGTGTATACGTATAAAACACCATTATATAATACACCGAGTACCGAATA